CAGCCGTGGGGCGGCGCCGCCGGCGAGGCCGCAGCCGGCGTGCAGGCCCCCAGCGGCGTGTGGGCGCTGGCGGTGAGCCCGGAGGGCCACCTGGTGCTGGCAGGTGCGGCGTCGGGGAGGGGGCCTGGCCCGGGAGGGGAACCGCGCAGCCGGCCTGCTGTGTGGAGCAAGACTGCGCGCTCTGCTCCCCCGTCCCTCTTGCTCGCCCCGCCTGCCGTCGTGCGGCCTGCTGCCCCCCGACCCGAACAATACCCTCCTGCTGACGCCCCCCTGGCACCCTCCTGCTGGCGCTGCAGGCACGGAGGATGGGCTGGTGGCGGCCTGGGACCTGCGCCAGCGCCCCACCGCCCCGCTGTGGCGCCGCCAGCTGCTGGCCGACAACTATGTGGGGGCCCTGGAGCTGTGCCCTGGCGGCGCCGTCCTGGTGGTGGCTGCCGCCGACGGCAGCCTGTCGCTGCTGGACATGCGGCGGTCGGGCGCCGTGGCGGCCAGCGTGGCGCCCTCTGGCCTGCCGCTGCGCTGCTGCGCCACAGACGGCGTGGTGGCGCTGGCGGGGGACGAGGGCGGCGGCCTGCACATCTGGCACATCGGGCAGCAGCTGGGCCAGCAGGCGCCGCTGGCTGCGGGGGTCTGGACGCCGCCGCGGCCCGACGGCCTGCTGCCGCCGCTGGCGGCAGACCCGCCCTCCGCCATCAACGCGCTGGCGGCGGCGCCGGGTGGCGGCGCCAGCGGCGGCGTGGATGTGGTGACGGGGCACGAGGGCGGCCTGCTGCGCTGGTTCTCCACCTCTGCGGCCCCATGAGGCTGCGAGGCTCGCATGCGCCCTGTGTGTTGATTGTAATCCACCTGAAGCTACCTAGGGTGATGTAACCCGCAAGGCAACGAAGCTGCCTTCAGCTGGCGCAGGCACAGCGGGCGGAGCAGCGTCCACATCATCTAGGGCTGGGCAGTATGAACCGGTAATGCTAAAGTAAAGTAAAGTAACGATTTAATGGTTCACTGCTGTCCTGGGCCACATTTACCACGACAGGAAGGAGTTGGAAAGGTTCAGGAAAGGTTTACAGGGGGGCCTAAGGGGGCACCTGTTAACCTGTAAACTACCACCCTGGAACGAACGAATGAGCTTGAATCAGCCCCACAGACGCTGCGAACCCTGCTCCAGTCTCCCTCCAGGGTTGCCCAGCCACTGCCTGACAGCATGTCCGGCATGCAGGCTACCATCGACGAGTCCCCCACTGGCAGGCCTCTGCAGCAGGCGCCGGCTATTCTCCAAAAGCTAGCCTCAAAGCAGCGGGATGCGAGGGAGCCGATGGCTGGCATCATTGCTGATGGGGAGGCAGCATACCAGGCCGCTTTGCGGGCTTTGGGAGCCAGCGCTGACGGCAGCGGCGGCACGTGACTCTGCCAGGTGGCGTGCCAATTGCACAGAGATGAAACCAGCACTGGTTTCATCTCTGTTTGCTCCTGAATGATCCCTGTTTGCTGATTTGCCACTACTGCAACCCACTGGCCCCTCCTGCACTGGCCTCAAATTGCCCCCTTTACCGAACGCTTTATATAAGCTTTACAGCTCGCGAGTGGGTTCACAGGCGCACATAGTGGATTACAGATAGGCAGTAAAGGCTTTATCTTCACTAAAGCTTTGGATGATCTTCACAGGTGGCACCAACTGCAGGTACCTGCCAACTGGCTTTACACCCCAGCCCTAACATCATCCCCTCCTGTATATATGATATATACAACCCCCGGCCGTGTTGTATATGACCATGTCTGCTGTCTGCCGCTCGCTTCATCCTTTGCTTCGAGCCAGCAGAACTGCGAGCGCCAGGCACCTCACCACCCGCACCATGGCCAGTCGTGTACACTATGACAGCAAGACCTGCCCCTGTGAGTTGCCTTTTCTGTCGCCAAATTGCGCTTTCATGGCCGCCGCCTCCCCATGGCCGCCCCGCCGCCTGCGCCACCCTCTGCCGCCTGTGCCTTTTGCCGCCCTCCTGCCGCCGCTCGCCAGACTCTGGAACATTCTGTAGACAGACCCTAGTTTCACTAGAGCACTCTAGTCTATTTATAGCATTGTGATTCCTTTCCATCACTCTAGAAACGTCCACAACACGTTTGCCCCCACAACCACCGTGGCGTGAAGGCTGACCCCTGTCCACCGGCTGCCGCCCTCGCCGCCCCCCGCCTGCAGACGCGCAGCGCTCCTGGATCACGCTGCTGGAGAAGGGCCTGCCCTTCGAGATCAGGCTCGTGGATCTGAACGACAAGGACGAGGAGTTTGTGAAGCGGTACCACAGCATTAACCCTGACCAGGCGGCGCCAGCCAAGGTGCCTATCCTCATCGAGCCAGACGGCACACAGCTGATCGAGTCGCTCGTCATCTGTGAGTATCTGGAGCAGCGCTACCCTCAGGTGCCCCTCCTCCCCGCCGACGCCGTCCAGGCAGCCAAGGTCCGCCTGTTCGTCGACGCCTTCAGCGCCCAGCTCACCCCCGCCCTCTTCGGCCTGCTGCGCGCGGCCGACGCCGAGGCGGTGGCGGCGGGCAAAGCCAAGCTGGAGTCGGCGCTCAAGGTGGGGGTGGTTGGGAGGGTGGGATGCTTCAGGTGTGCTTGCAAGGAGTCGCCCCGCCACCACGATCCACCCAACCTTGCCTTGCACTGATCAGGCGTGCCGCCCGCACGGCGTCCCCTGCTTGATGCCATGCAGGTGCTGGATGCCTTCCTCACCCAGCACGGCAGCCAGGAGGGCGGCGACTATTTCCTGGGCCCCACCTACTCGCTGGCAGAGGTGGCCACCGTCGGCTTTGTGCAGCGCTCCCTGTCCGCCCTGCCCGCCTTTCGCGGCGTCGACCTGTGGGAGCTTGTGCGCCAGAACAAGCTGGGCAGGTGGGCAGGGAGCAAGCGGCGAGCTGCTGCAGGAAGCATGTGACTGGGGTGGTGCCGCCCCTCGGTTCTTGGCTGGCAAACAGCCCTGAGCTGGCCCCATCCGGCACTGTACCGCAGGCTGGAGCGCTGGATGGAGGCGTCGCTGGCCCGCCCCTCTGCGCAGCAAACCAGACCAGACGAGGAGGTCACTGTCAACGGCTGGCGCAAGTTTGTCACGCCGCTGGCCAACTGAGCTGAGCCAATGCATCGCATGCCCGTATCGGCCCCTTCCTGCGGTTTTCTGGTGCATCTCCTTCTCTGCGTTGCTAGCGGCCGATGCTGAGCTTGCATGTGTGCATGCTGACGTGTGTGTGTTGAGGCTGTAGCTAGCTCTTCCGCATGCCTGTAAAGGAACCGACCCCGCCCAGCATCAGTGTCACGCCTTCTTCAGGCGCTGCGGGTCCAGAAAGCAGGCGGGGGGCTGCAGAAGTGCCAGCAGGCTGGTGCAGCATCGATGCACGCCTGCGCAGCCCATCCTCCGGCGCCTGCTAACTTTACACACAAAATGCAACAGGCTCCAAGAGTGCAGGACAGGAAGTGGAGTTGTGCGTTGCAATCGGCCGCTGAATGCAAGGCTCCAAGCAGTGCTGTGCAAGTGAGGAGCTGCGTGCTGAAAGTTGTCGCTGAATGCTAGGCGCCAGTTGTCGCTGTTCAGTGCTGTTCAGACTGAGGGTTGCCGACGGTGCGATGCTGCATGCCGTGCGGAGGCTCTTGCCAGCCTGTCATCAGACTAGATGTGAAAGGCCTTCAGGTGGTGGTGAAGTGCCAAGTGGAGGTTGCGGGCTTGCTGTGCTGCACAGGCAGGAACGGAGAAGGACTGGACATGATGGCAGCCTCAGGGACCTCTTTAATGGAAATGGCAAAGAGCAGCCCCTGCTGGCAGCACCAGCACACTGCTCCCTGCCGCTGCGACCAGAAGCCATGCCCCACTCACCAGACTTATTGGCCAGCCTCTCCTCCAGGGTTCCCTCCTCCACCAGCTCAAAGTAGACGCCATCTTGGGTGCGGATGCGCCCCTTGGACTGCAGCAGCTCCCTGCCTGCAGCCCCATAGCACCACCGCCCCAGAAGAGTCAGTACCGCACGGCCACCGGTAGGTATCAGCGGCGGCAGCAGCAGCCGCTGCACCTTGTGTGGCCACCCTGCTCAACGTCTGGCGCCGCTGGCTGTCCCCGGTGGTTCATTGGCACACACACGCTGGGATGCCATCTCACCTGTCTGTGTGGCGTTGAAGCGGATGACAAACTGGCAGGCCGGGATGTTGAGGCCCTCCTCAGCGGCAGCTGTGGCTATTAGCAAGTGTTGCCCTGCGTGTCGGCCATGACCAATGGAGGAGGTCAGAGCAGTGTTGGCAGCACAACCGTGGCATCGAGTCAGAGAGGGAGCAGAGATGATGGAAAAAATGAATGAATGAATGAAAATGAATGAAAAAATGAAAATGATGATGGAAAAAAAGGCGTCGCTCACCCTTTGCTCCAAAGCTCTCGCGCGCCTCGCGCTGCTGCTTTACGGCCATCCCGTCGATGCCTCTGCCACCGTGGCCCATGAGGAGGTGCAGCTGCATGAAGCCCAAGTCAGGGTCTGCAGGGGTGGGATTTGGGGGTGGTGATGTGCAAGGGGCATCACGAGGACATTTTGAACCCATGTTGCTGCCGCCGGCGGCTTGCTAGGCCCTGGGACCTGCATGCATCAGCTCAGTTATTCTTGGAGCGGGCGCCACCTTGTCGGCTGCCGGCGCACCTGCTTGCAGGATGCTGTGCAGGACACGGCAATCGGCGCGGGTCCTGATGAACACGATGCCGTGTGCTTCCTTCTGATCGCGGTACTGCAGCAGTACCTCCTTCATTTTGATGTACTTGGGGCTCTTGGGGCACGCAAAAATGCCATTCCTGTCAAGCAGGAGTGAGGAAGGCCTCTTCTGCCTCAGGTTGCAGTGTCGCAAATTGCCACACTGCGGGTGCCATAGTGCTGGTGCTGGCCAGCAGCACCAATGCAGACCAACACGGCTGGCAGCAGGCAGGTACCCTGTCGTGCTGCAGCAGCTTCACCTGTAGGCTTCTTCCAGGGTGTCCTGCCCGAGCACCTGCCGGGTCAGCAGGCGCAGCAGCTCCATCGCCACTCCCTCCACGTCGCCACTGCCCGAGCCACCTGCGCTGCCGCTGGCGCTGTCATTCCTTGCCACTGGGCGCCCCAACAGCTCCTCGGTGCGCACACCCAGCAGCTGCAGGGAAGGAGGAGGTACGAAGAAATGTACCATTTGGACATGCGCAAGCAAGCCCCGGGCGGGGTCGCCAGCAGGTGCCCGCTCACCTTCTGCACTGTCTCGGCCACCAGCTGCGCCAGGCGACGCGCGGCCGCCTCGCAGCCCATGTTGCCAGCCACCGACAGCGCACCCAGTGCCTCACTGAGCAGCATTACGCAGCAGTTGAGGTCGGTCTTAAGAGCCGGCTCAGCTCCCTGGGCTGCCTCCACGTGCTTGGCAGCGCGGGCGCACCACTCCTCTGCTGCATTGCTGAACTGGCCCAGCGCCAGCTGCTGCAGCGTCTCATACCGCAAGTGCAGGTCTGCAGGGGAGGCGCAGTCCCACGCGTACTCAGCAAATCGGGTGGATTACATCAAACTCCTGGTGGCGCAACCGGAGGGGGTTCCATTCTCTCCTACCTGCAGGCAAACCACCCTCGGGCTCCTCGTCATCACTGCCAGCAGCTGCCAGCCCCTGAAGGTGGGTTCCGAGCAAATCAAGCGCCCCAAGCACCCAGCGGCCCAGGCTCTCAGCAAACACGCGGTCCTCCTCCCGAAGGCGCACAACAATGCGCTGGTCCTGCAGCACAGCAGATGCGTGCGTCGGCACAAGGCACCATCAAGCGCCAGCGTTGCTGCCATTGCGCTGCTGCCGCTGGCCTACCTGGGCCTGTGGCACGTGTGCCAAAACCTCGGGATGGTCGTCAGGCACCACCAAGTACTGCGCCTTCAGACGGTTCTGCAGCAGGTCCAGCGCGCTCATGGTGCGCGCCTGCACAGAAAAGGCAGGCGGAAGCGGTAGTGAAGCTGCTGGAAAGGAAGGCGACAAGACTGTGGCCGGCATGGCAGGTGGGCCCCCAGAAGTGATGATAAGCTGAGGCCAATGTGCACCAGGGTCGTTTGGCTTGCTGGTGATGCCGTGAAGCCAATAACTTGTGTGGGCACTGCAGCCGCAGGCTTGACCTCCAGCCACTCTGCGTAGCGCTTGAGCACGACCGCCATAGCCGAGCCACCCACGGCGTTGTGGCATTCGTCCAGCACCTGCAGCAAATCAACTTCAAACAACTCCAAGCAACGGGCGGCAGCAGGCGCGGCTCACTCCAGGCATTCCGCGCCAGGGCGCTCACCAGCAGGGTGATGTCCTCAAAGCAGGCCGCCCCGCGCTCAATCAAATTTTGGAGGATGGCCGGCGTCAGCACCACCACAGAAGAGCGCTTGAGCAGGTGAACCCACTCCTCCCGCTCTGGGTTCACGCTCTTGCCGCCGCAGAAGCAGTCAACCCCAAAGCGGAAGGAGTTGAAAGGTGGAGAGGTGCGGATGTAAGCTGCAGGCAGAAAATGGGCATAGCATGAAGATAGCATGAAGATAAGGTGTCGTGCTGCAAGAGCGAACATCTGACGGGCGCTCGCCATGCACGGCGCAGGTGAACATGAAATGCTTGCCCTTTGGCTGCAAGCTACTTCTCACCAGCCTGCTGGTCTGCCAGGTTGATGGTGGGCGCAAGGACAACGGTCTTGGCATTGTGGTTGCGCTCCAGCAGGGTAGCGGCGTGGTGCGGGATAATCTCAGTCTGCAATGCCATGCATGCAGCAATGTGAGAGATGAGACTTGTTCCAAAACTTCGAATCATGTGTATTACCTTGCCCGCTCCAGTTTGTGCCACAACCAGATAGTTGCCGCCTGTCGAGATCTGCCGCAGGATATCGGTCTGGTACTGGCGCAGGACTCTGTCGCCCGTGAAAGCAGCAGCTTGTGCGGTGCGCTCCCTGCAGGCAGCCACGGCGGCAGCCAACTGGCCGGGTGAACTTGGCAAACCATTGAGAGCGCGCTCTTGGATGCTCAGCACAGCATGCTCACCCCAGCGCCTGCTCCCTCTCCAGCCCTATTGCCAGGTGCACGAACTCGCCAGCTGGGCTGCGCTGCTGGCCTTTCGTGTCGAAACCAGTGGGCTTGCTGGTGGCATCCAAGTACAGCTGCGCTACCACAGACGAGCCAAACTTTGCAGTCCAGCTCTGCAGGGAAGGTGGACATGCCAGCGAAGAAATCATCAGGCGGGCAATTGGAAAGTAATCTGCGTTCATGCATCCTTTTGCCTGCAACCGGCCTGCGGGGATAACTCGCCTGGTACTTCTTTCGAATAAATGGGTTGGTCTCTTGCAGCTGGCTCTGCAGAAAGTCTGCAATGCTTGAATGCGACATGCCGGAAAAGAGGCGCTTGGCCTCGGAAGAAGGCACAAGGCGCACGGCCGGGGGGCGCCCCGTCAGGCTGGTGCCCGGCTGAGTGGCAGGGCCCAGCAGCTTGCCACGCGGCAGAACTTTGGTGGCTGCCGATGATGCCTCCACGAGGATGTGGAAGGCCCCAGCCAGGACAGCAGGCACCAGCACCTCCAGCTGCTCCAGCTGTTGGGAAGGAGCGGGGGGTCCAGACTCAGCTGGCACAACTCAGCTTGGCACATGTGATGCACTGGCAGGGCCACCACAAGGTGCTGTGCCTCTCTGCCCTCTGCTGCCTACCCGCGTCTCCAGCTCCTTGATGGCCGCCGCAGCATATGGCAGCAGCTTGGTGATGGCTACAAAGAGGGTCCCGTCCTCCGCCTCGTGCACAGCCTGCGCAGCAGGGGTAGGGGGAGGCAACCATGCGTCAGCTGCTGGAGGTGCAACCCGCTTCTGCTCTGCAGCTGCCCTCCCTCCTCGCAGGCGGCCTCCCTACTTGCCTGCGGGAGCACCCCCTTCATCTCCTGCGCCAGGAAGCCAGCGATGCGCTGGCCGCCGGGGTCGCTGGCCCAGCAGTACTCCACGGCATTGAGGCGGCAGATGAGCTGCAGGGCACCATTCAAGGCGGTGACCTGCAAAGAGAAATGCAGCAGGAAGCAAGGTCACCAATAATTAAATGCCTCAGAGTTCGAGCTGCCGGTAGCTGGTGCCGGCTGGGCCTGAGCGATGCCTGCATGCATCTGTCTAGCCGCCGCCCAACCGCCTTGATGCAGAGGTAGCAGCTGGTGGCAGCCCAGAGCCCGGCGGCTTGCCTGTGTCTTGAGGCGCTCATCAGACAGCTCCCACACCGTGCCGCCAGGGGTGTACAGGTCGCCCAAAACGAATAAATCCCTGCGCAGCACAGCATCGTTGCGCACGTCCAGAGCGGGTGTGGTGGGAAGGTTGACTCCTGGAGGCGCCTGCATGAATCAGCAGCAGCAGGCAGCTAGCCTTAGTGACACTCAGATACCAAGGGCACTGCCGGCGATGCTGCCCAGCGCTGGAAGGAAATGGCATCAGCTTTATGGAACAGCATGCCAGGCAGCACCCTGCACCTGAACCATCTGGCCCTGGCCCAGCGTTGCCGACTTGAAGTGCTTGTCTGCTGAGGCATCCGCATCAAGGAACTCAGCCTCCATGCCTGGCAGGCCGCTCGTGCCGCCAGCACCTTCAGCACCAGCGCCGCTGGAACCGGCGCCTCCTGCTGCTGCGGCTTCATACATCTGAGTTCCCAGCCCTGGCAGCGGCAGCGCTGCGGGCGGCGGCGGCTGTGCAGCAAAAGGCGCGTGCTGGAAAACAACCCCCTCCATTTCCTGGGCTGGCGGGCCTGGCAGCCATGCCAGCTGGGGCATCGGTGGCGGCACTGGCAGCAGCGGGCCCAGCGGCTGCACCATGGCAGTGGCAGCCGCCATAGCTGCCTGCTGCTGAGGCAATGCTGGAGCACCCTCGATTCTGAAGTAGTACAGGCGCAGGCTTTCATCCATGGCGTGAGTGGCCCTACACACGTAGGACCTGGCTGAACCTCAGTGCTGTGCTGAACAGTATGCCTGACGCCCAGCACAGCAGCCACGCACCAAAAGCAGCTCCTCACCTGATGCAGGCGCCTGCTGGCACAACGTCCAGGGCAGGTGCTGCCGCCACGCCGCTGATGGCGATTCTGCTGTGCTCAGGCTCGACCCTCTTCACGGTTCGATAGCCGTTAACGCTGGCGTACACGCCACACACCTGCACTATCGCCCGGCCTGCAGGGGCAAGCGGAATCTCGGAAGTGGGACAAGGTAGCGGCATTCAAAGGGGCAAGCTGGCGGGCTTCTTCAACCTACCCGGCGTCAGATCAGGCATCTCGCTCACTGCCAGTGTCAACCACAGCAAGTTGTCTGCCCTCTGTGCTGCGGTGATACTGCTCCTGATCTGCTCATCCTCTGGAAGAAGCAGCATCTGCTGAAATTCTCCTGCCTTCCACTGCACACCCAGGTGGGAAAGTCTTAGTGGGCACTACCGTGGCGCAGGCAGCGAGGCAGTGCGCCGTCTGGCATGGGGCAACCGACCTTGAATGTGCCCGGCAGCTCCTCCGCCGAAGTTGTCAGCTGCCTCCGCCTGGCATCCCTGCGGTCCAGCCGACGGGCCCGACTCATGAGGTCCTCATACTGCTGCTGCTGTGCTGGATCAATCCCCAAATAGCTGAAGCGCCGCGACGCCATGGTTGGCGCTTCTGGCCGTGGTGGGTGGAACACGGTGTCATTCCCTGGCCCCTGCTTCCCCGGGTAGAACAGGGAGACGCCGCCGCCGCCGCCCTGGTTGATGCCTGCCTCCTCAGCATCCTCCAGCCGAGGCCGCTTGCCCTGCCGCGCCCGGAGGCTGGCCTGTATCTGGGCACCCATGCGCTGCTGCATCGCACATAGTAGCACGCCGCGCTGCTGCCCACTGCTGTGCAAATAGACATTGCGCGCTAGCTCTGCTATGTAAGGGAGCTGCAGGACAGGAGAGGGCAGTGTTGAGCGCCGCCGCAGACGGATTGAGTCGGGCACTGCCAGCGGCGGGCCCAACCTGCAAACTGTCTTGCTTCCCCAGGTAGCGCAGCGCTCCTGATGCCTCCAGGGCTGCTGCCTGCAGGGCCCCTGCCGCAAGCAGGGGCAGCAGTCCAGCAATTGCCTGGTTGCTCAGGTCGTGGCCCTGCAGGGCCTTTGCCTGCAGGTCTGCCCAGTCCAATGCTTCTGCCATGTCCAAACACGACTGAGAGTCCTGGGGCTGTGAAGGGTTGAGACCTGGAACCCCGCCAACACGGTCAGGGCAGTACCCAACACGGCCAGGGCAGTACAACTTCTTGACTTCCATCAACTCTCAGCCAGAAGCTGGGGAGGCACCCTGGCCAAAGCCTGATGCTCCCAGCTCTGCACCCGTGCGACCTATTCTTAGCTCAGGAGCGTCGGCCGCCGGCCGCTTCTGACGATCCCTCTGCTGCATCTACTCCTGGCGGCCGCCGATGGCTTAGATTGCATGTGCTCAACTGGTGTGGCGAGTTGTAGCTCTTCAGCATACATGTAACGACACCAACCCCCCGGCCACCCAGCATCAGCGTCATGCCAAAAGGAGCATCCTGCCTGCAAGCCTATGCCGTCAGCAGCTCATAAGCCTTTTGCACCTCCTTGAACCGATCCTCTGCCGCCGCCTGCTCCTCCGCGCTGCCGCCGGTCCACTTGTCGGGGTGCCACCGGGCGGCCAGCTTGAGGTACGCCTGGCGGGCCTGCGCTGAGGTGGCGGTGGCGGGGATGCCCAGCACACCCAGCGCCGCCTCCACCACACCGCCGCCGCCAGCCCTGGCCGCCGCGCCGTCGCCGCAGGCACGCCGGTCGGCGCCGGCGCCCAGGCTCAGCTTGGCTGCCTCCTCCAGCAAAGCCGGCAGGCCGGGGTGGCCGGGCGCCGCCTTCTTCAGGCGCTGCAGGTCCAGAAAGCAGGCGGTGTAGGCGCCGGCCTGCTTGTGCACCTCTGCCCGCAGCTGCAGGCAGGCGGCATGGCCCGCATCCAGCGCCAATGCTGCATCCAGGTCGGCAATGGCTGCCTCCCACGCCTGCCTGGCAGCCTGCGCCTCCGCCCGCCGGTGCAGCACGGCGCAGGCCAGCCCCACGCAGGCCGGCGGCTGCAGCCGCGCCAGCAGGCTGGTGCAGGCATCGATGCACGCCTGCGGCAGCCCATCCTCCAGCGCCAGCTCCCCCTGCCGCTCCACCTCCTGCAGCTCGCACACATGCGCCAGCAGGCTGCTGCACTTGCGGCTGCTGCCCGCCACCTGCAGCGCCCGCTGAAGACTGCCCGCCGCAGCCGCCAGGCTGCCCTGCCGCCACGCCACTTCTGCCTCCAAGTACAGCCGGTCTGCAGAGCCCTCCAGCAGGCTGCAGCACCCCGCCTGAGCTTCGGCATACCGCTGGCACAGCAGCAGCGCCTCCACGTGGGCACACCGGGCCGCCTGGAGGCGCGAGTTTGCCGCCAGCATCTGCTCCGCTGCATACAGCTGCGCCACCACCTCCTCCTCCGGAACCGCCTCCCGCGTCAGCCCTGCACGGCTGCCTCGCTGCGCTGCTGCGACCTCTGCTGCCGCTTGCTCCGCTGCTTCGGCCGCCAGCTGGCCAGCCTCGGCCAGGCCCCTGGCTGCAGCGCCACACCCGGCGTCCAGCTCTAGCGCGCGCCTGAAGCTCTGCTCTGCCAGCTCTGGCTGCCGCAGCTGCAGCCTGGCCCTTCCCGCCCTCAGGTGGGCCCGCAGGTAGGCGGGGTCCCGCTGGGCGGCCTGGTCGGCATCAGCGGCGGCAATGGCGGGGCGGCCCAGCTTGAGGGCGGCCGCCGCGCGGTTGGCGTGGTACACAGCGCTGGTGGGGCTCAGCCGGATGGCCTCTGTGAAGCAGTCGAAGGCGGCGCTGTGCTGGCCGGCGCCAAACAGCTCCATGCCGCGGTCGTTGGCGCTGCGGCAGGGGGGTGGGGGCAGGGGAGGCGGGAATGAGCAGGGCTTGCAGCTCCTTGCCCTGGACACTGATCAGCACGTGCTGCATGTCTTGACGAAGCCTGATGTCCAGGCCTGCCCGCCCACCTGTCTGCCTTGCTGCTGTCGTACTCGCCATCCTGCCACCAGGGCCGCTGGAAGGCTGGATCCTTCTGCCGACCCGCAATCTCCTCTACCGCCTCCGTCTCCTGCGCAATCTGCCCCACCAGGTCCGCAAACTGCGGATCTCCCTCCAGGCCCAGGCATCTCAGGCGGAACACAAAGTCCTTGAGCTTCTCGCTGCGCCAGATCGACCCCGCCTCGGCTGCAGGGCGGCGGCAGGCGGCGTGAACATGCGAGTAGTGCCTCTCTGGCTTCTTGCTGCAGGATTGCTTGCCTTAAGCCATGCGCGACGTGTTGGACTCACCTTCGTCTGGAACCGGCACAGGAACAACGTTCATCGGCCTGAATGAGACAAAGGACGGGGTTTTGCAGAGCTCAGGAAGCTCACAGACTTTATGTGCAGGCCGAAGAGGCTGACAACGGGAGAAGAAGGGCAGCCGACAGCTCTGCGGGCTGCCAGGGGGTCAACCTGTCGCGCCCGCCGCGCCCCGCTGGCATTCCACCTTTTGCGCCACTGCTCACCCATTGCATCATCCATTGCATAGCACGCTCCACATGAACGGCGATTGAGACAGAGTGGTGATGTCCGTGGCGCCCGGCCTGTCGGCAAAAACACCGCTGGCCAGCAGCGCACACGCCGGCCGGAGAGCCAACAGACCAGCAGCGCGGCAGCGGCGCCAAAGATCGTGCGGTTGCATGGCGGCGGGCACTCAGGGCCCTGCCGTGTTGCACCATGCGCCGGTGGCGGCGGCAGCACTGGGCGGCGACCCAGCCGCGCTGGCAGACCTGGTGGACGATGCGGTGGTGTGGGCCAGCCAGCACGGACTGGTGAGTGGGTACTGCAGCTCCTACAGTTGAGATGGAGCTGCCGCTGCTGCCGCTGCTTGCCGCTCTCGGAGGCTCCGCACTGCACCCGGTCCTCTCGCGCCAAGAGAGCAGGGGCACGATTCTGTTTCAACCTTGCCCCGACCCTGCCTCGCATGCAGCTGGTGGGCCTAGGTCTGGAGGATCCGGCGTGCGCCGCGGTGCACGCGCCGCTGGCGCTGCTGCCGGTCCCCTACCCTCGTGACACCTTCCTGGCCGCCAAGCAGGCGGCCCTCGCCTTCAATGCCATGATCGACGCCGTGGCTCGCGACGAGGCCTACTTGCAGGAGGTGCTGGCAGCTGCGGCAAAGGAGGACGAGTTCACGGTGCGGCGGCGGCGGCGGCAGCAGGCAGTGCAGGCGGGCAGCTGGGCGGAGCGTGTTGCTGATCCACGGCTTGGCTGCTGGCCTGCGGGGCCTGCCTGCGTGGCATGCCATGGCCTCTCCAGCATGCAGCTCCTGGCGCATGCTTGACAGCAGCGCGTCGCATGTGGCCCATGCACCCCTGCGCCCCGCAGGCCCGCCTGCTGGCTGTGTACCGCGACACCGCCGATGCGCGGCATGCGCGGGTGGGCCGCGACGCGGTGCTCGCCATCCTGCGCTCCGACTACATGCTCCACGCGCCCACCAACTCGCTGCTGCAGGCGCGCCGTGCGCATGCTTGCTTGCGGCCTGGGGGCTGTTCTGCTTGTTCTCTGCCGGCAGGGCTGGGAGGCGGTGCATCCGCCAGGCCCGTGCTCCCAGCCGCTGGCAGGCCGTGGCTTGGCGCGTGGCGGCAGCGGTGCACGTCGCCCATCGCCCGCCATCCACCGCCTCACCCCCGCACCACCTGCCCCACCACTCCAACCCGCAGGTGGAGCTGAACACCATCGCCTCCTCCTTTGGCTGCCTCAGCACCCTGGTGGCCCGCATGCACCGATACCTGCTGGGCCGGCTGGGGGCCGGCGAGGCCGAGCTGGCGGCGCTGCCGCAGCACAACGCCATGGACGGGATCGTGGACGCGCTGGGGGTGGCAGCGGCAGACTACGGCGCCCCCGGCGCGGTGGTGGTGATGGTGGTGCAGCCAGGCGAGCGCAACGCGTACGACCAGCAGTGGCTGCAGACGCGGCTGTGGGAGCGGCACGGCGTGCGCACGCTGCGGCGCAGCCTGGCGCAGGTGAGGAGGCGGGGCGGTGGGGCGCCTGGGAGGGCTGGAGGGCAGGCGGGGTGGTCCTGCTGACCAGGCTGGCCCGGCCTGCCGGCATGGGTGTGGCGGGTTCAGTTGCTGTGGCCGCCGCTGCAAGCCCCGCCGTTCAGCCACTGGAACAAACAGCGCCGCCGTTTTGCGCCGCCCGCCGCTGCAGCTTGCGGCTGAGGGGCGGCTGGGTGAGGGCGGGCAGCTGGAGGTGGGCGGCCACCCCGTGGCTGTCGTGTACTTCCGTGCGGGCTACACCCCAGACGACTACCCCAGCGAGCGCGAGTGGGCGGCGCGGGTGCTGGTGGAGCGGTGCGACGCCTACAAGTGCCCCACGGTGGCCTACCAGCTGGCGGGAGCCAAGAAGATCCAGCAGGTGGGCAGGGGAGGAGGGGCAGCCTGGCAGCGCCTGGCGTTCTGCCCACCCGCCTGTGCCTGCCTGCATGAGGTGGTGGTCGCAGACTGCGCCCTCCGAGCCGGGCCCACGGCGGCGCCAGTGTTTCTTGACCACCCGCTCCCCTGCTACTGTCTGGCTCCCTCGCTTTGCCTGTGCAGGACCTGGCGCGGCCTGGGGTGGTGGAGCGGTATGCTGCCAGCGCTGAGGATGCCGCGCTGCTGCGCACCCTGTTTGCGGGCCAGTGGGGGCTGGAGGATGTGGGCGACCCCGCCACCGCCGCCGTGGTGGCAGACGCGGTGGCGCACTCGGATCGGTATGTGCTCAAGCCGCAGCGCGAGGGTGGGGGCAACAACTATTACGGCGAAGCGATGGCGCAGCGGCTGCAGGAAGGGGGTGGCCTGGCGGCCTACATCCTCATGCAGCGCATACAGCCGCCCGTCAACCGCGCCGTCATGGTGCGGCGCGGGGTGGCGGTGGAGGCGGACACGCTGTCTGAGCTGGGCATTTACAGCGCGTATGTGCGGCGGGGCGGCGAGGTGCTGCTGAGCGCCGAGGTGGGGCACCTTGTGCGCACCAAGAGCGCAGACAGCAACGAGGGCGGCGTGGCGGCGGGCTTTGCCGTGCTCGACTCGCCCATGCTGGTGTGAGGCAGCACGGCCGCCATCCACACTGCACTGCGTGCTGCTATACGCACTTTTCACTGCATTCCAATTCATTGTAACGGCCCCCAGCACATGGGGCGAGGAGGACGGCGGTGCTTTCTGCGCTGGCGCCGCCAGGCTGGCGGGGTGAGGACGTGCCTTAAGGGGAACCCTAGTGCGCTTTGGCTGGCTTCTGCTCTTACCCTGTCGACTTCTGGAACTGGACAGCAGCGCTGCGGCGCGGTAATTCTTGAGTTTGATGCGCGTTTTGGGCGCTGCGCCAGTGCAGCCGGGGCACAGGCCCATTGATACGATCAGCAGGAAGATGCGAGCCGGCGACGTGGCTGCAGCAGCGATGGGGTAGGGCTGCGTGGCCCTCTCAGGACCCGCCCGCCGCCTCACACCTGTGCTCGCGCCAGTCCTCCTTCTTATACTCGCTGCACAGCGAGAAACTGTGATTCCATCCTCTTCCCATGTGTCATACTGCAGGTCTGCTGTCAGCACCGGCAAGAAGCCCGCGGAGGCGTGTGCCAGCTCCAGCGCACCAGCCGCGCCAGCCGAGCGGACGCCGTTTGCTGCGTGCGCCAGGCCCGACGTGGCGCAAGCGCTCCGCGACAAGTATGCCGATCTCGGCGGCTGGCCGTCGGCAGCGCAGCTGCCAGTCCTGTATAGTCCTGCCTACAACATCAGCTTTTACGGCGTGGAGCGGCTGCACCCTTTCGACTCCAAGAAGTTCCAGCACGTTCTGAGCATCCTGGAGCGCGGCGGCGTGCTGCAGGTGGGCCAGCTGGTGCGGGCGCACGAGGCGACGCACGAGATACTGCAGGAGGTGCACACCGAGGCGTACCTCAACAAGCTAAACACAAGCAGCTTCATGGTGGCCCAGGCAAGCCGATGGGTGCCACATACCTGTGCTGGCCCTCCACGGGGGCAGCAGCGTTGGCGCTAGTGGCAGCCAGCACGGCCAGGATGGCAGCCAGATGGCCGTCACATGGTGCCCCTCCCAACCGAGAGCACCGGTCCTGCACGCAGGTCACGGAGCTGGTGCCGCTCGCCTTCCTGCCCCCCTTCCTGCTGCGGCGCAAGGTGCTGCGGCCCATGGCCACGATGGCCGGCGGCACGATGATGGCGGCGGCGCTGGCCATGGAGCGGGGGTGGGCCATCAACCTGGGCGGCGGCATGCACCACGCCAGCCACGACCAGGGCGGCGGGTGGTGCCCCTACGCAGACATCCACCTGGCGATGCGCCGCCTGCGGGCGGCATCCGGGGGCGGCGTGAGGCGCGTGATGGTGGTGGACTTGGACGTGCATCAGGTGGGTGGCAGCCAAAGGGGGGACAGGGAGGCGGAGGCCTTGGGGCCGGGCAGGCAGGGATGGCCAGCGTTGATGGCACGGACGGCGCAATAGAGCAGCAGGTGGCGCGGCGGGGTGCTGGTGCGAGGAGAGCCCAGGCATGGCGTGCGCCGGCCTGCAGGGCAACGGCGTGGAGCGCTGCAAGCAGCACTTTGGCGAGGAGGGGGAGACCTTCATCGTGGATGTGTACAACAGGCGGGCGTACCCTTGGGATGCAGAGGCCAAGCAGGTGGGCGGCAGGAGTGCGCAGCGGATAGCGGGTGGGGCAGCAGAGCAGACTGCTGGCGCTTGGCAGTCGAAGCTAATGCCCTTGCTGCTGCTCCGCTCGGCCCAGCCGCGCCATCCATGGCCAACACTTCCTGACAGGCTTGTTGGCTTGGTGGTGCGCGTGCGCGCTGCAGGCCATCGATGTCCAGCGGGAGCTGCTCCCCGGCACAGGAGATGGGGAGTACCTGGAGGCGGTCGTCAGCGCACTGCGGCAGGCCTTCTCAGAGTTCCAGCCCGACCTGCTTATCTACAATGCGGGGACCGACATCCTGGAGGGTGAGTTGGGACAAGCCGCGCAGTGCTGGCCTGGTTTCAGCCGAGTGCAGCCTCGGGGAGCCAACAAGGCTGCATTCCTGCATGGCACCAGCTGCGACCAGCTGCCTGCCTCGCATGCGGGGCGCTGACGATACAGTGCCATTGGTGCAGGAGATCCGCTTGGGCTGCTGAGCGTGAGTGCCGAGGGCGTGGTGCGGCGGGACCAGATGGTGTGGCAGGCGGCGCTGGAGCACAGCGTGCCCATCGTGCAGGTGCTGAGCGGCGGCTACACGCGCCGCTCCACGCCCTGCATCGCAAGCTCCATCCAAAACCTGTTCAGCACTTTCAACTTGGGGCAGATGGAGGCTGCCCAGCAATGATTCGGATTTCGCCACACCCAGGCTGCATTCCATCCATGTCCATGCATGCAACGATACATGTTGGTTACATGTGCGCTCTGGCCAATCTTATCGGTGAATTGTGAACAAAATCAAATCAGTACAAAATACGACTCGTCTCGAACAGGGTCAGTACAGTATTTGCAATGTTCCCACAGGCTCCGCTGTCCAATGCCTCATCACTCTCTGAAGGATGCCGGGGCATTGATGGTGCTGCTGCCATTGGTGCTGCGCAGTGCCAGAAAGTCCTCCAGGTATGCACACATCACGGGGGGCCAGCGCCTGCGGTGGCGCACCAGCAGCGGCGGCGGCAGCGTCAACACAGCCAGCGACAGCAGCACCAGGGTTGTGCTGTGCTTTGCCAGCCGCACACGTCCAACGCTGGTCTGACGAGGGTTGAAGGGCGCACCTGATGCGAAAGACCCAGTCTGGGTCTTGGTACCGGCTGCAGCCGACGGTGATGCGGGTGCATGCAAACTCCCACTCCGCCTCTGCCGCCGCCTCCCGGCCCTGCCGCCAGTACAGCGCCGCCAGCGCCGCTCGCATGTCCACGCTGCCGGGGGCGCGCCTGCACGCAATGCGGTGGCAGGCCAGATGGGCACAGGGCAAGCAGCATGTGCAGCAAGCCGGGGGGGTCCTGATACGGGTACCACCCTGCCCACCCCACCTGGCAACATCCTGCATCTCCTTCATGGCCCCCGCCTCGTCGCCCATCTGCACCAGCATCAGCGCCGCGTTGCTGCTGGAGAACACGGCGCCATCCAGCCGTGGCGTGTTGCTGCGCCCGTAGCGGAAGCCTGTGGCCCGCTGGAAGCCATCTGCGCTCTCCAGATAGTTGTCGCGGGCCCGGCTCCACTCCCCTGCACCATGTGAAAGCAGGCATGGCCACAGGGTGCTGGCGTGCAAGCGCTGGTGCAGCAAGCCAGGCTGTCAGCGCAAGGAACGGTGCTTAGCCCAACTTGAGCATGACTGGGGCCCCTGCCACTCACCCAAGCTTGCGTGGCAATTGCCTCGACTGTTCAAAATGTAAGGGTCGGGCAGTCGCCCTGCTGCAGGAAAGAGGAGGAAACGGAAGGCATTCGGCACCTTTCAAACCGGGAGGGGCAGCGGCAGCTAGCCATTCTCAGTCCTTCAAACCGCCAAAGAAGTGGGGGGCGCCAGAGTGCACACCTGATTGCGCCTGGGACAGCGCTTGGTCATAGTCACCCAGTGCTGCCACCCAGTCTCCCAGGCCCTCATATGCCAGCCCCCGGCCTACATGTCAACAGTGACGTTTGGGTTGGGGCAGCCACCGTACAGCATGATGCAGGCGGCCCATGCCAACGGGCACGCAGCCCACCTGCTAGCAAGCGTGCCCGGTCAACTGCCGCTTCTGGTGGCAGCTGCTCTAGCGCAAACTCGAAATCAAGAATGGCGGCCCTAAAGTTTTTGCCGTCCACCAGCGCCTGGGGAAAGGTTAAAACCAGGGAGAAATGGGTGTGATGCACAGTCAACATGTTGGGGCAACCCTGAAACAAGATATCACCATCGCACCTGCCCGCGCATCTCGCGCCACTTGCCCTCCCCCGGCTCCTGCTCTATGATCTTGTTGAGCAGCTGTACTGCCTGCAGCAGTTGCGTGATAATTAGTGGACATCCGTCGAATCAAACGGGAGTGCAAGGCTACACTGCCTGCAACACCAGATCTGGCGGCACGAGGCGGCAAGGCGGCAACCCGGCATGCCTTTGAGCACGGTGATAACAGTGACACGCCACCCAGGGGCACGGATCACTCACCTCTGAGAACTCACGATTGGCATAAGCCTGCGTGGCAGCTGCCTGCAGCGCCCGCACCGATGTCGCACCTCCCGCTTCATCCACGCCGCCGGCGCCGCTGCGACGGGAAGATAGCGAGGCTACCAGCAATGCCGCGCCGGTGGCCAGCAGCACTTTGCGTCGACCATTCAGCACGATACTCTGGGAGGCTTCTGAGGAGGGCTGTGAGGTGCACCGTGGTGCACCAGGTCGGGCACGGCCTGGGCCTCCGTTGAATGATCTGCTCGCCCTTTTAGATCTTGGAAACGTATCCGCTACACGTGCTGAGGCTTGGCAAGTGCCTGGGCACGCCATCTCAAGGAAATGTCAATGGGAGGCCAGCAGACGAAGTGCATACCAGGCCCTCACCGCGATGTACACACATGAAAAATGCCTGGGTAATGGTGAAGAGGTAAACAAGGCCTGTATCAGTCTGAGGGGAAACTGCACGGGTACTGCCGAAGTACGCATTTTTCAAGCGCGGTGCGCCGCGTGTCCAACCCTCGTTGAACGCCCTCATGCATCGGCATCCGTGAGATGAAGGCGCATCGAGGCCAGAGCTTGCCTCTCCATTCTACACACCACAAACCCGGCGCGCCACGCGCTTCGCTGGGCCGGTTGTGCTGGGCATCAGTGGGCCCCTTCCTGGCAGCCGCATTGATAGGCAGCGTGCTGTTTAGAGCCACCGGCAGCGGCACCGGCGCAGAGGAGGTTGTTGTGCAGCGGCCCTCCTCCCGTGTCCTGGAGGAAACAGGCCGGCCCATACCCTGCCTGGGACTGAACTGTGGAGGGCATGGGGCCCAGACAGCAGCAACGGGAGCGGGGGCCGAAGGCGGCCGCGCTGCCGTCATCGTTGGCTCATCACTTGGCGGCAGCAGCAGCAGCGAGGTTGGCGGCGGCAGCGGCGAGCAGCTGCCGCAGCTCTTCCTCTTCATAGGCATCCTTTCGGGGCGCGGCTACCGCCACCGCCGCCTGGCGGTGCGCGAGGCCTGGTCCAACAAGGCGCAGGTGCCGGGGCAGGTGGTGGCCCGGTTCATCCTGTCAGAGGATGAGCGCACCCCGCAGGTGGGGTGGGCGAGGCAGGCAGCCAGGCAGAACAGTCTTCTCTTGCAAGCCGTGGGTAGCAGCCGCTGGGCGGTTTGGCATGCATGCCGGCATCATGCGCGCGCCTCTTTCGCCGCACCACGCCCACCCCAACCCCCGCTGCCATCGCGTGCGCATGTGCGCAGGTGGAGAAGGAGCTGGAGGCGTACGGCGACATTGTGTTTGTGCGGGAGAAGACCAACTACAAGTCCATCCTGTACAAGACATACTATGTGAGCGACGGCGCGGCGGCGGCGGGGCTGGCAGGCGTGGAGGCGCAAAACCAGCAGCCGCAGCGCGCCATGGGCTGCCACGCTAGTTCCGCCTGCTGTCCTGCCAGTCTGCCCTCACCCGCCTGCGCCTGCCCCTCGCCCCCTGCCTCCCCTGTGGCAGGTGATGGAGTATGCGGCCACCAACTACGACGCCGCCTTTGTGCTGAAGACGGACGACGACGCCTTCATCAACGTGGTGCCCCTGCTGGCGCAGCTGGCCGCCATGTGCGAGAACCCGGGGTGCCGGCGGGAGCGCGTCTACATGGGCAAGATGGCCAAGCACAGCGAGGTGCTGCTGCAGCCGGGGCACAAGTGGAACAACGCGGCGTTCCACAACCACACAGGTGCGGGGGCGCGGGGCAGCCGCCGGCGGGCGCCGCTCCCTGGCCGCTTCTTCATCGAGGCGGCCCGGCCCCTGGCGCGCGCTCTGTCGCCTGCCGTGACAGCCTCGCTCCTGCGGCCCCGCCCCTGCCTCCTGCTGCCCCCGCAGGCCTCAAGGAGTACCCCAACTACATGATGGGGGGCGGGTATGTGGTGGGCGGCGAGGTGGCGCGCCTGCTGGTGGACATCCACACCCGCATGCACCTCAAGTTCACTCCCATAGAGGACGCCACGCTGGGCTTCTGGCTCATGGCCATGGACCTGCGCCACATAGACCACCCGCGCTTCTACACCTGGGCAGCGCCCTGCTGCTTCAAGGCCCCAGTCAGGCGCGCGCCGGCGGGCGGGAGCAGCCGCAGCGTCGGGCGGGGAGGCCGGCGGGCGGGGCTGCGGCACAGCGCAGGCGGCGCGTGGCATGCAGGCGGCACGCGTGCAGCTGCCTGCAACCCCGACGGGCCTGCCTGCCTGCCATGCTGCTGCTGCAGGAAGCCTGGGGAGCGGTTTGTGACGCGGTTCCAGCTGGCCGAGGAGTTTGATGCCGACCTGTGCAGCTCCGACCCCTGGATCATCATGCACAAGATAGACTCGCCCACCAAGATGCGATACGTGGGCGGGCGGGTGGCCAACTGCAGCGCGCCGGCGCGGCCCTGGGAGCTGGCCCCCAGCATCCGCCCGTACATCACCCCCGAGCAGCTGGCCTACTGGCAGCAGCGCGCGCCGCCGGAGCCGCCGGAGCAGCTGACGGCGGGCGACGGCACGCCCGCGGCGGATGCAGGCGGCAGCGCAGGTGGTGCCAGCAGCGGCGGCCTCGCTTCCAGCGACGCGGCTGGAGGAGGCGGCCTAGCCGCCGGTGCCATTGGTGGCAGCCTCGCCTCTACCGGGGACGCTAGTGGCGCAAGCCTGGCCTCAGCTGGCACAGCTGTGGGCGGTGTCTCGGCCGGTGCAGCTGCTGGCGGCGGCAGCGGACTTGCCTCGGCAGGTGCAGCTGCTGGCGGCGATAGCCTTTCCTCGGCAGGTGCAGCGGGCGGAAGCCTGGGGGCTGCTGGTGTAGCAGATCCCGGCGTTGGCACAAGCAGCAGCAGCAGCGGCATGGGAGCAGCCACCACCGCAATTCAGTAGCGGCTAGTGTCAGTGCTGCTGCAGGGGCGGAACCTGGTGCCCTTGAGCTCATCCGGCACTGCCCCCGTGGCACCCTTTCATTTTTTAGCTCCCTGTTTCGTTTCCCCCCAACTGAACTCATTCCTTGACCGTCTGATTTGTTGTGTTCTCTGCCGCTCCCTTTTGCTCCCTACTTGACCGCTTCCGGGGCCACTGCCCCCCTGTTGTTTGCTGCAGCACTGCCTCTCTACCCCCTTCACGTTCACCGGCACACGTAGTCTGTAACTCGGCATTCCTCTCGGTGTTTTGGCTGTGGAGGTGGGCACGCCTGCCTGGATGGCGGCGTCAGGTGATGGCGGAAGCTGGCGCTGGAGGAAGGCAAGGGTAAAACGTCGAACTGCTCCTTGGTAAGGCAGGTCCTCCCTCGAGTTGCGCTTTCTGTACCCGAACACCATGTCTGCGCCTCAGGACGACAAGGTGCGTCTCTGCTTGCCCGCCCATTTCTCGCACTGTCAAACACCTCTCCTCCCGCGCGCCCTGCACGCACTGATGAATAGCCGCACTGCACTGCGGAGCTCTAGGCTCCCCCAGGCCCTGCTATCATGGTGCCAACACTTTTGCCGCCTGCGCCGCGGACGCTGTGCAGGCGACCGCAGCAACGGCCGCCGTGGCGGCCCCGCCCCGCCGTGGGCACGAGGTTGTTGACGGCACAGGGCGGCGCCTGTCCTACCTCGTGTACGGCCAGCAGGACCTGCAGAAGGCCAAGGCCGTCCTGCTCTTCCTGCACGGCGTGCCAGCCTCGGCGTGCGAGGCGGCCACGCTGGATCGAGCCGCCGCCGAGGCCGGCATGGCGGTGGTGTCGGTGGACCGCCCAGGCGTGGGCGAGTCGTCACCCCACACCGTGCACAGCCTGGCCTCTTTCGCCGTCGACCTGGGCAGCCTGCTTGATGCGCTGGGCCTGCAGGGGGTGGCACTCGCCGGGGAGAGCGGCGGCAGGCCCTACGCAGCAGCCGCGGCGGCGCTGCTGGGCCCCACCCAGGTTTTCCCGCTGCCCCTTGTTAACGCCGTGGGCCCCCTGGGAGGTGGGCTGCTGGACCCCCTACCCCAAGGGGAGGGCCAGGACGCCCTCAAATTTGTGGGCTGGCGCCATGCGGGGGTGGCCATGCCCGTTGCACCGCTGGTCAAAGTACATGGCAAATGGAAGCAGTGTGGCCCCGGTGGTAGGGGCTTGCCCGCCCCTGATCAACAACCACCAATACCCACCGCCTGCACGCTTGCTGGTGCCGCCCTTGGGGCCTGGCTCCCTCCCTTCCACTCTGCTTGAGCGCCAGCCCTCCCCCCCCTCCACCCTGCGTGCTGGCGCAGCACAAGCCCGAGGTGGTCATCAGGGAGGCTGGCAATGACATGGGCCCCGCCGACAGGCAGGTGCTGGAGTCCAGCCCCCAGATGGGGCAGATGATGGTGGAGATGGTTCGGGGCGCCTACCGCCAGGGTGTGGGCGCTGTGCTGGACGAGTATGATGTGCTGCGCTTGCCGTGGGCGGGCGTCGACCTGGGCAAGATCCAGTGCAAGTGAGCGGCAGACGGCCGGTGGTGGCTGGTGTGTAGGCCCCAGGGCTGCTGCTGTCGTGCTTGCCATGTGCCACCTCTGCTGCCGCCCACCGTCTGCTTGCCTGCTCGGGTGGGTGCAGGACCACGGTGTGGCATGGCACGCTGGACTGCTGCGTGCCGTCCTCACATGGGGAGTGGTACGCGCAGGCCATCCAGGGCAGCACGCTGAAGCTGGTCGAGGGGGAAGGCCACACAACCATCTCGGTGCGGCGCGGGCGGGAGATCATTGCGGCTGTGCTGGAGGGGGCGTGAGGCACCCCCAGCGCTGCTGCCCCCTGCCACAGCGCTCGTCAGTTCAGTCGTGTGACATCCATGCATTCTTGTGTATACTGGTATTATAATACTTGATCAGGCCTAGTTCTGGGAGCAGCGGCAGGCAGGCGCTGGGCAGGCCGGGCTGCTAGCAGTGCACAATCGCCTCCCGGCCAGCAGACGTCTGTCGCTCTTCTTCCTCGTCTTGTAACACACCAACAGGGGTTGAGGAGCCCTGCTGTGGCGTTTACCCTAGCCTGCCCCGACCCGTTGTGCACGGTTTTGCTCGCGTCTCAGGGTTGCCCAGCCCAAGCCAGTATGGGTCCCCGCAGCGAGAGGTGTTGAGCTACACTTCACAGCTGTATGCACAAACCCCAGCAACAAGCGCAGCTTACAATGGCGCACTGGCTACTGCCGCTCGCTGCCGCGCCAGGTGCGCTTCCTGCGCCCAGCTGAGCTTGAGGATGAGGGACAGGTAGGCGGCCGTCTGGATGAGGGGCCCCAGCGCCATGCCGCCATACATGCCCTGCACACCCAGCTTGAAGTAGAAGCCCAGCAAAATGGCCACAGGCACCTGCGCTGGGAGAAGAGGGTGGGAGGGCTGTCACACAGGGCGATGCGGGTGCCGCGCGCTGGTCCCCTTGGCGCGTGGTAGTGGTGGGCTCACGCGGGGAGGCTGTGGGCGCCAGCCAGTCAGGCACTGAGCGGCGGGCCCAGCAGGGGCGCCTGCCTCCCGCCGCTCCCTCGCGGCCTCGGCAAGCCGGCCAGGCGGCAACGCCGGCCACCCACCGCGCACGCCCAGTAGGCGACGACGTTGATGGCGCTGCCGCGCCTCTGCTTGCCCACCCCCGCGATGATGCCAGACAGGATGGTCTGTGCGCCGTCAAACAGCTCCAGCAGCACCACCAGGTAGAGCAGGGAGCGCATGCGCTGCAGCAGCAGCTCGTCGGCGCCCGTGGTGAACAGGCTGAGCAGCAGGTTCTGGGTGACCGGCCACGTCAGCACCGCCGCCACCACGGCCCAGATGGCGGGGGCCATGAGGGCGCTGGACAGCGCCGCCAGGCGCGCACCCTCGGCGCTGCCCGCGCCCAGCGCGTTGCCCACGCGCGTGCTGCCCGCCATGGCCACCGCACTGAAGCCCATGAACAGCACGCCTGCAGGGCGGGTGTGGGTGGGAGGCGGCGCGGTTGGCGTGGCGCAAACGAGGGTCGCTCACGCCCATTCCGGCCTGTCTGGAGGCTGCAGCATGCATATGCCTGGCGGGGGGCCCGGCCTGGGAGGCATGCATGGCCCCTCTGGCCCCACCAGCCTCACCGTACAGGTTGAAGGCCACAGAGATGGCGGCCACCGACTGCGCGGCACCGGGCAGCCAGCCAGCCAGGATATTCATCAGCGAGAAGCTCCACGACTCGATGCACTTCATGGCTGTGGGGTGGTGCGGGAGGGAGGGAGGGAGGGAGGGAGGCAGAGAGGGAAGAGGGAGAGAGGGAGGGACGGCATGGTTCACTGTGTGTGCGAGTTTGTATCATAGCTGTGATGGTCGGAGCGGCTGGATTCACGCTGGCGCAACGCAGACGAGGCATGATGCGGCAGCACACTGCTGGATACCGCCCCCCCAGGTCCCCCCTGCCCCTCCATCCTTGCCAGCCACTCGCCTGCCGATGCGTACGCCAAGCCCGCAAACTGGCGCCAGCGGGCAAAGGCCTCCCGCGAGGGGCGCCCCCACACCTGCTCCCCCATCCCCGCCACCGCCACGTACGCCGCCAGCAGCGCCACCGACAGTAGGTTGGACCAGCCGCTGGCGACGGCGGCGCCCAGGAAGCCCAGCCGCGTCCTGTTGATGAGCAGGTAGCAGACAGCCACGTGCTGCACCGCCACCACCAGGCCCACCGCCATCTGCGGCTGCGTGATGCGCTGGGCCACCAGGATGCGGTTCAGGGGCCTGCAAGCAGGGGGTGTGCGTGTGCAGAGGGTTGTGTGCAGAGCGTCAGGGTGGTGTGCAGCCTTAGGCTGGAGACAAGTGAGGACAGGAGAATTTATTTTTCTTTTTAGCACCGGTCCCGCCCCCCTGCCCACCTGGCCACGGCATCTATGAACAAGTTGGGCAGCAGCGCCAGCAGGTACGCCCTGACCAGGGCGCACACGTCGGCGGGCTGGCCCAGCGCAGCCAGCAGCATGGGCACGGAGACAAACATGGCGGCGATGGGCAGGCAGTGGAGGGCCAGGAAGAGGACGGCGCGCTGGAACAGGATGCCCACCGGCTGCCCGGCGCCCACAGCCTGGGTGGCCAGAGTGTCCACGGCGCCGCACAGGCCCATCTGCGCGCGGGAGGCAAGGCGGGGAGGCGGGGCAGCGGTTGTGTGTGGGTGCACGATTGTGTGAGTGTCGGGCTGGGTGGGGATGGAGGTGGGGGTCAGGCCGAGCGCTGCATCGCAGGCTGCATGCAAGTGTGAGGCCAGCCAGCCAGCAGTTGCCCTAGATTCCACGTGCCCGGCAGGCGAGTGTGCGCACCAGCGGGATTTTGCCTGACATGGCGCTGAGGGTTGTGCCCAACGCAGCTGCAGCCAGCTGCTGGGTGTCTCCCAGCTTGCCCACAAAGCTGAGGCACACTGCAAGCATGCGAGGTGTGTGTTCGTGAGGGAGGATGCAGCAGCACAAGACGAGAGCTGTCGCAGCGGTGGCAGCGCGGGCCCAGCGGCACCCACCAATGTTGAGGGAGTAGTTGGAGATCAGGTTAAGGGCCAGCGGTCCCGCCATGCGGCCCTGCTCAATCATCTCCTGTTGCAGTGGAGATCTGAAGTGGGTGGGGGTCAGGGGACGCTGGCGGCAGCAGGTGTGGCCATGCAAGTGGCGGGAAAGGCAGGGTGGCCAGACCAATAATGCTCCCAGCCATTCACTGTGTCTGCCCGCCAGCAGCTCCTAATTATCGACCAATGAGATGCACCTTGGCGAAGGCGGCGGGGGTTGGGCACCCGCCGCCGCCGCCGGCGGTGCTGCCCTCCGCCGCTGTCTTATCTGCTGTGGTGGCATCGATGCCGTCCTCGACAGACAAGCGGGTGAGCAGGGGCTGCTGGACGTCGCTGGGCGAGGTGGGAGTGACTGGGGTGGCTGCGCCTGGTTGTCCCTCCTCCAGAGTGGTTGAGCCGTTGTTGCTCGGCATAGGCGCATGTCTTGGAGCATGATCAGGCCCCCATTTCGACATTAGGAGGCTGAAATACCGCACCGCCAGCTAGGCTCGCCACGCTCGGAACACGAGGATCAGCCGACTCAATTGCAATTCAATCGGCGACCTGCATTCAACCTTCAGGCGCTGTGATCCCCCTCGCTGACCAGTCAAAGAGGAAGCTCCATCCTAACTTGGCCGGAATAGCGGCTTGCAGACGCTGCCTGGAGGGCAGCCTGGCGCATAGGGCGGCAACAATAATCCAGGAAGCCCTCGTGCCATCTGAGTTGTGGGGTCGCTCCCCACCCGCCGCCCACGCCGCCCGCCCACCAGGCCCTTCTCTGAGCCTAGCGCCAGGCTCCAAGCAGCCATGCTGAAGATCCTGCTGGTGCGCCACGCCCAATGTGTCATGAACCTGGAAATCACCGAGAAGATTGGCGGCCGCACCAACCACTCGCCGCTGACGCCGCTGGGAGAGCAGCAGGCGCGCGCGCTCGGCGCGCACCTGAGCGCGGCCTTGCAGCTCGCCGGCACGCCCCTCCCGCGCCTCCGCTTCTACAGCTCCACGGCTGTGCGGGCACAGGAGACTGCCAAGGCGGTGATGGCTGCACTAGAGGTGATCAGGGAGGGAGGATTGCGCTGGGTTTGCCAACCTTTCCCCCACACTCCAAGTCGCAACTTTCCCCGTGTCGTTGCCCCTCTCCCACATGCGCCATGTTGCGCTGTGCCGCAGGTGAAAGAGACCGAGCTGGTCCAATCTGAGCAGCTGTTGGAGCTGGAGCAGGGAGAGTGGGAGGGGCGGGTGCGGCGCGAGTGCTTCACGCCGGAGCTCACTGCGCAGTTTGCTGCCGATCCATGGGTGAGTCAGTGAGTGAGTGAATGAACGAGGTGGGGCGCGCAGGTGGCTCTGTGTAATGTGCACTTCAGTTTTGCATGATCTGCCAGTCAAGGCGCGCCACCCCACTATAGTAGGCTGCATTGCATGCAGGGCCTGGGCTGGAACTTTGCCCCGCCAGGCGGCGAGAGCCAGCGACAGGTGCAGCTGCCGCCTCCTTGGTCCGCTCAGCCTGCTGCTTTGTCGCCAGGCTGCTGCAGCTGTGCTAGATGCCGGTGCATGGCGCAATCCCTGCCAAGCTGTCCGCAGGTGGAGGAGCGCATGCTGGCCTACCTGCGGGAGGAGGTGCTGCCACGGCTGTCGCCCGATGCACCCGCCATTGTGGTGTCGCATGGCATGGCCCAGAAGTGCCTGCTGAGGGGCTTGCTCAACTCGCTGCCAACCATGTCCCGCAACATAGCGATGGGCAACACCTCAGTCACCGAGGTGGGCTTCCTGCCAAGCGCAGACGGCGGCGTCAGCGATGGCACCTGGCACATCCTGCGCGTCAACGATCTGGCGCACCTGCCGCTTGAGCTGCGCAGCTGAGCTGCTGGCTTCTATTTGATAACCATTCTTTTGTTCCTCGTCTTTATTGCTGTGGTACGTGATGCCTTTGTTGCACATTTTTTGCCGTGCCACGCAATGAGTACAATCACGGGAACGTTTAAGCATACTGCGCATATGGTACATACATCTGAAAAAGTAAGGAAAAATGATCGGTGACTATGAAAAAACGAGCAGGCCTGCAGCTGCGCTGATGGCGCTACAGCGCCGCCACAGAGGCACTGCCCGACCCGCGGTCCACTGCTGCTTCCTAGCTGCCTGCCTGCCTAGCCCAGCTAGTGCGCCGCCAGCCTCAGTCTCCGCCGCTGGCCCAAGCGCCGAGCGCCTCTCTGGGCGGTCCCTCAGTTGGACACCATGCTCTCCGCCTCCTCAACAAACCCGTCCCCACTCCACTCGTCGTCCTTGGCCAGCCCCACCCGCGCTTTCTTCTTGGCCTCCACCGCCTCGCGCTGCATGCGCACCAGCTCGTGGTGGGTGGTGAAGTAGGGCAGCGAGGCGCCGCGGAACTGCTCCACAGAGGCGAAGTCGTGCTGCTGCATGAAGGCCTGCGGGGAAGGAGCGGGGCAAGAGAGCAACAAGGGATGGATAAGCAACGGCGAGGGGGCTAAAAAAGAGTGCAAGCTGGGGCAGGGGGCTGCTGCATCTACATGTGCATGCCGGCAGCGAGAGATGCAGCAGGCGCCCCCTGCAGCACGCTTGCCCTGCTGCCGCACCTGCAGGCCGCCGCACAGCTTCTTGATGAGCGGGTAGCCGTACAGCATGACGCCGGTGCACACCTGCAGGCAATGGGCATTGTGGGCACGGGCCACGCGGCGGGACACTCCAGGTTACCAGCAGCGAAGCGTGCGATGTGCGTGGAGGGCCTGCTGCGTGCCTGCCCCTGCCTGCCAGGCGCTCCCTGCCTGCCCACCTGCACCGTGTTGGAGCCCAGCAGGATGAACTCCGCCGCATCCCGCCCCGTGTTGACGCCCCCCAGCCCGCTCAGGCTGGCGGCTGAGTGCGGGAAGTCGTGGCGCATCATCTGAGCGATGGACATGCACTTGGCCAGGGCGATGGGCTTGACGGCGCGGCTGGAGTAGCCGCCAGGGGTGGTATGGCCCTCCACTGCAGCGCGCGGGCAGCACGCAGGGGACGGGTCGCTGGGTGGGGGCAAGGAACAGGCAGGCACGGGGCTGGAAAGGTATGCGGATGCTCAGGTGGCAACCTGCACGCCCCACCGCCGGGCTGCTGTGCTGCTGCTGCTGCTGCTGCCGCGGGCTCCGCTCACCGCATGGCTCTGGGCGCAGCGTGTCCAGGTTGATGCCCATGACCGAGGTGATGGTGTTGATGGCGGCGATGCCCTCGCATCCAGCAGCCAGCGCGGTGCGGGCGGGCATGCTGATGTCTGCATGGCGGCAGCGCGGGCGGGTGGGTGGGCAGGCAGCTGGGAGGTCTGGGCGGCAGGCTGAGCTGGGTTGGGCTGGTGGAACACAGTCGTTGCGCTGCTTGGCAAGCACAGCACAAAGAGGGGGTGCGCCAGCGCGCAGCGCCACCCACCCGTCACGTTGGGCGTCATCTTGGCCCACACCGGGATGGTGGACTTGGCGTTGATCCAGCCGCACACCTCGTGCAGGAGCTCGCAATCCTGCAGGGCACACACACACACACACACACAGTCTGTACACAGTCTGGCAGTTAGGCGGGCAGGCAGTCGGGCAGCACATGTGCGATGCTGCGGTGCACTGATGCTGCCTGGGTGCTCAGGCCCCCCACCCCGCACCTGCCCCATGGCCATCCCCATCCTGCGCTCGGGCATGCCGTGCGGGCAGCTGAAGTTGATCTCGAAAGCGTCAACGCCCGCCTCCTGGCACCGCTCAATCAGCTCCTCCCACTGCACCAAGGGCGCGCACGCAGCGCCGCAACAAGCATGAGGGTCTGGCCCCATCCCTCGGGCACCGGTCGCTGCTGGTGGACGCCACCGCTCTCGCTTTCCACCACAGGCAGCCCGCCCAAAGCACACACACACACACACACGTACACATGGTGCAACACACACACACACACAACAGGTTACCGCCACCCCCACCACCGCACCACCACCCACTCGACTTCCAGCCCACAGCCCAATCATCACGCCACCCCCAACCCCCACAACCCGCACACACACACACGCTCCCGCTCACCGCCGCCTGGTTGTACTCCTCCATGATGGAGGCGATGAGCACGCGGTCCGGGAACTCCGCCTTGAGGCGCTTGAACTCCTCCAGCATCACCTCCAGCGGCCGGTCGCTGATGAGCTCGATGTTCTCCCAGCCAATCACCTCCTTGCCGTCGCTGCTCTTCATCTTGGCATACCTGCAATCTTGCGGGGAAGGGGGCATGGCGGGACCACAGGCAAAGGCTGGATACGCGCTTCGTGGGGATGGGGTGGCGATAGGGAATGCAGGGCTGGACCCCAGGGCTGCCTAGGAAGGCACCAGCACAGACAGGGAGGCTCACCGCGGAGTGACGTTGATCACCTGCGGGGGGCGGCATGCGGCATGGAGGGGCAGCATGAGCGGATGTGCGGGCAGCAACATGGCAATGCACCACGCTGTGGCGCATTGGCCCTCACCTTGCTGCTGTCCAAGCTCACGGTCTTGGCAATCACAGCGCCCCACCCCTCCTCAAACGCCTTCTTCATCACCGCATAGTTGGTACCCGGCGGCCCCGACCCAATGACAAAAGGGTTTGGCAGCTTCAAGCCATTGACCTCCACCGCCAAGCTGGGGCCAGAGGTGACCGCGCCATTGACCTGCACGCGGCAGCAGTGGCCTCAGAGCGGGAGGGAGGGAGGTGCAAGGGAGGAGGCGGCAGCAGAGGCACCCTGCATTAGGCTGCTGCCCTGCCAACAACCAACTCCAAATCTGCACAAGGCTGTGCTGGATGCGGCAGCGACGCCTTGCCGCGGCGCTCGCTGGCGGCGGTGCCTCACCAGCTTTATTTCAGGCTCATTGGCCAGCACGTCGTCCTGGCGGGCTCTGCATCGGAACGTTCGCCGGCATCGCCTGGCGCCAACTACAGCAGGGAGGGAGCGGGTAACGTTCCGCGATCGGTCAAGTGGGGTCGATCTGGGCCTCACAACGTTGAAATCAGGCTGTCCTCACCTGGCCTGCTAGCCGCAAGCTGCGCCGGCACCGGCCTGAGACTGGCAACAGCGTGCATATCTGGCAAAGCCCTAACACCTCCAAGTGCTGGTAGCGGGACAGGATAACCAGCAGAGCCGCCCTATTCTAGTCCGCAACGCCAATCAAGAAACCCTAGGCCAACCTAGGGCACGCGCCAGCTGGCGGGCGGGGTGCCGCACCTCTGCAGAGCTGCCACGTGCACCCATGCCCACTGCCAGGACTGCATGAAATGCTTGCATGCCCGCCAGCCGCTCGATTCACCCATTTTGTTACACTCATTGGGCTCTTGAAAAGCGGGCCAGCAAGCCCTACAAGTGTGCAGCGAGCTCCCACCACCTGTCAGTGGGCGCAAAACCGCCTGAAAACCATCTTCACTCGCGGCCCCGTGCCTTGATCGCATTGAAATAGTGTTAGAAAAGGTCTGGACGCACGGGCGGACCGGGAAACGCCTCCCTGCAGCTTGGCATTTTTGAATGGCACCCTGCAGCTGGCGCCCACAAACTCTTGACTACCCCCTCTGCAGAATGCTCTCCTCACGCTAGTGGTATAGACGATTACAATCATGCTCACAAATCATTTAGCACTCTTGTCACCGACAGGGCCGGCCACCGCCCTCCCCGGTCCAGCACTTAGGCCGACCGGCTGGCTGTCATCCACCCTTTCATCACCGCTGGCCACAACGGAAGTCCGGACGATTACAAGATGATGATGCACACATGCTAGGAAAATGATACATTGTGCCGCTGCTCTGCCGCCTCGTCAGCTGAGCGGTGTGGGCGGGCCCTCGCGTGTCGCCGTCACCGCCACAGCATCGCCCACGCGCACCAGCCCGCGCTGCCTGGGAACCAGGTTGGCAGCAAAGAACACGGCGCCCTTGAACCCGGGCGTGCCCTCCCAGCCCAGCACGCGCCCCGACCTCGTCTCCCCCAGCGTCACAAGCGGCTCCATCCCCTCTTCCGCGGTTTCCTGGTTGATGGTAGTCACCTGCGGGGGCCGCCGCAGCGCATGCCGGGCAAGAAGTCAAGGCCTGGGCCCAGGGAGCACCAAGCGAGCAAGTAAAAGCACTAGCGCCCAGGCTGGCATGCCACGCCCAGCACACCTGGCGCAAGCAACTGCAGCGCCCCTCACCTTGCAGCGGCTGCAGGGCTTGACGTTGTCAAACTCCACGCCGTCCCCGGGCGCACCGCCCGCAGCACCGATGCGCAAGCTGCCCCAGCCGTCCTCGGCAAAAGCGCCTGCCCCCCGCACAACCAGATTGGGCCTAAATCGGTTGATGGGCAGCGCCGCCTCGCCCTTGGACGCCAGGTGCTGGTTCACTTCTGCCAGCGAGGCCTGGGGCAGGAGGGAAGAGGAGGAGGCAGGCTTGGTGGTGTGCTGCCATGCTGCCCCTGTCCCCTGCCTCATCCACCCTCTGCTGCGTTGTCCACGCACCCCACCCTATCTGCTTGTCGGGTCAGCCCACCCTCCCAGCCACCTCGTTTGCCAGCAGGAAGGGGAAGCCGTCCGCAAAAGCGGTCTCAGCGCCAGCTGGCGCCCACTCTGTGTCCACCTGCCGCCGGGTGCCGGTGGGGTCGTCTGCTGGCATGCCTGCCGCCCCTGCCTGCCCGGCATAGCGCAGCAGGCGGCAGGGCAGGCCAAGATACTTGCTGAACCACTCCGCTGCCGCATCTCCCTCATCTGCACGGTGGCGGTGGCAGGGGGGTACCATAGTTTCTAGTTTTCCCCGTCTGTTGTCGCCCCCCAGTGGCCAGCAGAGTCAACGCCCACCTGCCGCCTGCCCGCTCCAGTCCCACACCGTCACAGGGGCCAGCTTGTCGGCGGCAGCAGATGCGGTGAGCGGCACCTGGAGCTCGGGCATGCCCGGTGCCCGCAGTACCAGCTTGGCATCGGGGCAGGCCGCCAGGTCAGCTCCCTGCAACAGACGGTCTGGCACGATGGACACCTCCACCAGCGCCAACCTGCGGGTTCATGTGATGTGGGTGCGAGGGGTGTGCCAAGACAGCAGAGTCGCGGCTAGGTTTGCTGGTGACGTCGGCAGGACGCGGTGGGACGGGCAGGCAGCAGTGCTGGCAAGCCTTGCTCACGTCGGTTTCTGCCTCTGAGTGACAAACTTGCCGTTGCTGGCTCTGACAACTACCCAGTTGCGGTCAAACAGGAGACCTGCTCGGGGTGTTTGGCGGGCGGCGGGCAGGCGGGTGGGGCAAGCTGGGCGGGCGGGCGGCAGCAGGTCGATCCAGGCAGTGCACGGATGTTCGTGGGCAGAGTCCTTCGCAGACCTGTGGGACAAACCACCCCGCTCGCCAGGGCGATCCCCCGGCAGCCCTTCACAGGATAGACAAACAGCTGACTGAGCGTGAGATCCGACGACATTTTGGCAATTTGCTCTTCCCTCTCAAATGCCCTGGGTTGCGGCATAACCTCTCTGCGCGCTGACCTGGCAGCGGCCCGTTGTACCACCGCTGGCCAAACTGTGCCGCAGTTGAGCAGCTTACAACTGGCCCTGCACTGAGCATGCTACATGCCCAGGTTCCACCCCGCTCCTTGCTGCTCCGGCACCTTGTGGTCCTGCAGGCGTCGAGGCGGGCAGCACAGCAGGACAGCATGAAGTCCCACCACCCTCCCTTCCTCCCTTTAGGGCACTGCAGGCTGGCCCACGCTGCACCGTGCTTGCCTGCGGCATGGGCTTCGACTCGTACACCGCCTCCACCGCCTGCCGCTTGCGCTCGGTGAACTCGCCGCGCAGGCCGATGAAGGTGACGGTGGTGCGGGCGGCGCCAAAGTTGGCGGGGAAGTGCAGGTCGATGCTGTGCACGCCGCTGAACTTGGCGGCGCTGCAAGCCGGGTGCGGGCAGCCAGGCAGGGGATGTGGCTCAAGCAGCAGCGCCTAGCACACAGGCAAGGGACCACGCACAGGGGCACACAGGCAGCAAGCAGCATGAGCCCTGGCTCACTGCATGGGGTGCTCGATCTGGCCGCTGTAGTTCTCCAGCAGCTCCCACTCCTGCACTGCCGGCAGGTCAGCCACGGTGGCAAAGTCGAGGTCGTCCCGGTTTATGTAGACCTGGGCATGAGGAGGGAAGCGGTGCATAGGTCAAGAAAAGGGGGGGGGCATCACAGCCCTTAGGGAGCAATGCTGTCAGCGCTGCACGGCACGGCACACCCTCAGCAGCACGGGGGGCTGGCTGCATGAGGCCCTGGCTTCTGCGTTGCTGCGGCCCATGCGCTGCCGCCTGAAGCAGCGCCCACTTTAAGCTTGGAAGGGCTGGCGCCGTCGGGGCCGCCAATGACGGTGATGCCTGTCAGCTTGACGGCGCCGTCAAAGGGCACGTGCAGCAGCAGCTCGGGGTCGTCCTCCTCGCTGTCTGCAGACACACAGTACAGCGTGTGATGGGAGATGGGTGCGCAAGCTGGTGTGCAGCGGGGCATGTCCGCCTGGCGCAGGCTCTCATCACCTAGCTGCGTGCCGCTGCTGGTCTCTAGCCGCAGATGCCACGGCTTAAACACCTTGCGGCACGACCCCTCCACGGCCTCATTGAGGCACCGCACCTGCGGGGGCAGGGAGAGTTAGCAGCAGACTGGCGCAATAGTGATGTGCAACGCAGGCCCGACGCCAGCTGCCTCGGCAGGGCCGCTCACCCGCTGCGTGTCAATGTGCTGGTAAAGGGACCACGCGCTGCTGCAGTCCTGGGCCTCGCAATCGTGGTCATGTGCGCAGCTGCCATGAAAGGAGGGCATGCCTGCCACAGCTGCCTGCAATCGCAACAGGTGTCGGGGACAGGCGGGCGAGCTCGGCGGTGAGCTCGGCGCTGGCGGGTGGGTGGGCCGCTCTTGCCGTGTCCCCGGCCTTGCTGCGATAAACATCTACCCTACCTCACCCAGCACTCCTGGCCACTGCAAGGCCTCTAATAAGCAGCAAGTTGGGAGGCGATCCCCCAGCGCGCAGCTCCCACCTGCAACTATTGATCACTTGAGCCTGTGCAGACCTCAGCAACGTATGGGAAGCCGGCGAATTGATTGCATGTGCATCCAATCCGGTTCCGGCGGGCATGTTCATTGGCTCCGCCTGCGGTGTCCCTTCATTCTCCCCATCGCTCCCTCCTACGACTTTGGAGCTTGCTGGCTTGCACTCCGCTCAAGAGCTCTGTCCTGTGCACTGAGCGGCTGCTGTGGGCCACAGCGATGGCCCGCTCTGGCTAGCGTGCCGCCCTCATTCTATTGGCCGTGCTCATCCCATCGCATTCCCAGGGGCCAATCCCGTGGCCCCTGGCAGTGTTGCTGGCACCACTCGATCACAAGGGAGGCGAGTGCTCTCCTGACCGGCAGAGAGGCTGGTCCGCTGGAGCGCGAGGAGCAGCGGAGGCCCAGCAGCAGCAGCAGGGTCAGCGGCGCCAGACGGCCCTGAGCCGCTTGACCTCCGCCGCCCGCCATGGCCGCGCTGCCGGTGCTGCCGGTCATCGTCCAGGAGAACTGGGCGCAGTGCGAGAACCCCAACTGCAACAAGTGGCGCAAGCTGCCGCCGGGGTACCAAGTGAAGGAGGACGAGCCCTGGTACTGCTACCTGAACCCCGACGACCACAAGGCCGCCTGCAGCGCCAGCGAGGACGTGAGCCTGTGGCGGCGCTGCTGGGCTGCCATTGTGTGCCCGCACCCTCATGCCAATGCCCTGAAACTGCTCGGGCCGCAGCGCCTGTGTTTGGCGCCTCGCTACCACCGATGGGTGCAGCCCTCTAGTCATGCCTGGCAGCTTCCCTCCCGTGCTGCAAGGCGGTGCACCTGCCAACATGCTTGCACACCGCTGCTGGCACTCCTGGCTCCCTCCTGCTGCAGGAGTACAATGAGGCTGTGGAGATCACGGTGCCGCTGGCCGCCACCGACGTGGAGGAGGCAGAGCACAACCGCCAGATCCGGGAGCGCCTGGCCGCCAGCTTCCGCGCCACCGCTGGCGGCGCAGCAGCGCCGGCTAGCAGCGGCAGGGGCAGGGGGCGCGGCAGAGGGTAGGCCCTGCTGCAACTGGGACTGCCTGCCAGCCATTACCCTAGCCATGCCCTCTCCCAGAGTTTGCTCCCCACTTATCCCCCGTCGCACTCGCATGCTGCACCGCATGCACCGTGCAGGCGGGGCAGGGGCCGCGGGCGCGGCCGGCCGCCGCTGTCGGGCCGCGGTGGCTCCAGCAGCGGCCCCTCCAGCCTGGATCCTTACTACCACAAGCGCCAGCGCAGCTCCAGCGGCGGCATAGTGTACAGGGAGGACTCGGAGGATGAGGATGCTGACCTGGCATCAGAGGAGGAGCAGCTGCCAGGTGGGGCTGCTCGGGGCTGCCCTCGGCTTGCGGCACGACACAATGTGCTCGGCTTCATTTGCTCGCCTGCTCTACCCGCGGCGGAGGGGAGGGCAAGCAGGTTGTGTGGCAAGCGGGTTGTGTGTAGGGTGTTTGGTGTGGGCTTGCCCTGCTGACACCCGGTTCGGACTTCCCCTTTGGCATCGTAATCTGCCCATTTGCTCACGTTGTCTGCTGGTGGCATCTCTTGATCGCGCCCCCTGCAGCACGCACCACACGGCGCCAGCAGTCGGCATACAGCCGCCACTACCAGCGGCTTCTAGAGAACCAGGGCTCTTGGGAGGCCGGGTTAGGGCACACCGCCGGCGGTTCTGCGGCGCCCTACATGCCGCCGCCGAGAGAGGCGTGGGAGGGGCTGGGGCAGCATGCGCCGGAGCTTGCTGAGCTGGCGTGCAGCGCCGCTGACATGGCCAGCAGCCTGCAATACTTTCAGGTGCGGTGGGCTTAAGCGGACCAGTCTTGCAGGTGCTTCTCAAGTGTGATGACGCCCTGCCGGTTGTTGGCTGAGGACTGTGCTTGGGCCATGCTCCACCCCACGTTTGCAGGGCAGCAGCTGCGCAGCACAAACTGGCGAGGAGGCAGAGTCTGTAGCGCGGCTGGCGACCATGCTTGCATCGGCCGCTGCCCTGGTGGCGACAGAGGACAGTCTGACAGAGGAGGAGCGGCGCAGCTGCTGCCTGGATGCTGCCGCCGGGGTGCCAGCAGCCGGGCCGGCAGCCCTCGGCATCCAGCCTGCGGCCGTCGCCGCTGCGGCCCCAGCAGCCCTTGGCGCACCCCTTCTGCAGCAGCAGCAGCCCGCAATAGCTGGCTGGCCGCAGGCGCCTCTGCCTGTGGCAGTAGGTGCAGCGGGGGCTGCCTTCACGCAGAGAGCGCCGCAGCAGCAGGCACTGGCTGCAAACGGGGCTGGCATGTTTACTCAGCAACCCGCGCAACCACGGCCGATACAGTTTGTGGGCGGCGTGCCGCGGCCTGCACTCCCTGGGGTTCCTGCCTGGCCTCAGATGGCGATGCCGCAGCCGAATGGCCAGCAGCAGCTGCATCAGCTGCAGCAGCAAGTACAGCAGCAGCAGCTGCAGCAGCTGTGGGCACAGCAGCAGGCAGCGACGGGGCTGGCATACGGCGCCTTGCCGGCAGCAGCACAGTTTGTTGGTGGCACGCTGCCGGCTCAGCTTGGTGGGGCACCGCCCCGGCTGGTAGCAGGGGCGGTTATGCCTGGGGGGGTGGCTCCCCAAGGCATGATGCTTATGCAGCAGCAGCAGCAGCGGCCGCCGCTTCAGCAGGCGGCGCCCATAGTGGAGCAGCAGCCCGGCATGCCGCAACAACTGCTGCCGGCGGCGCATGGGCCGCCAGGCGTGCAGCCAGCGCTGGGCTTGGCGCCGCGGCCTAGCATCCCGCTGATGCCAGGTGCGGCAGGCTCCACCCATCGTCCCTAGCTTTACATTTCTGCCATGTGCAGTGATGCCATAAACTCCCTTTGCCCCGCCTCCCTGCCCGCCCGTTGCAGGAGTCAGCCCCGCCATGGTGGCCCAGTACACGCAGATGCTGATGCAGCAGCAGCAGCGAGGTCCAGCCGTCGCCGGCCAGAAGCCGGCGGGCACGGCGCCGCCGCACGCTAACGGCACTCACTGATGCCACAGCGCCTGGATGCACGGTACACAGGTGTAACACCGTTGCACACAACTCAAAGCGGTCAGCTGTAGTGGTGTGCTTACAGACAGGGAACAAAGACACAGGGTAGGGTACAGAAGGTGCAAACAGCACGGTGGAGAGCCGGGCTGTGCCGGCAGCAGGTGCCAACTGGGCACAGCCGCCAACAAGCGAGAGCGAGAGCAAAAGCGGCAAACAATGGGGATGCGGCGTCGCTAGGGTGCAGAACGGGGAGCGGCAGTGTGGGGGGAGCGCAGCGTCATGTGTGTGGGGGTGGGGCAGGAGGCGAGGCGGGCAGCGCCGCTGGCGCGGTGGCCAGCGGCGGTGCTGGCTTGCTGCGGGGAGCCAGGCAGGATAGCCTGGGCCTGGAAGGCTGCTCTGCGAGCAGGCCTGCTGCCTCAGCCCTCGATGTTGAGCGTAAAGGAGACGTACGGGAACATGTCCTCCCCTGCGCCCTCCGCCGAGAAGTGGTCGCTGCCTGTGTGGCTGAACGAGTGCGCCATGAGCTTGCGCAGCTTGGCGGTGTACTTGGCGTTGGGACGCATCAGCACCGACAGGAACTGCGCGGACGGGTGGGTGGGTGGGTGGGGGGGGGGGGGAATGCGTGCTTGGCATCTGGCCAGCCAAGCCGCCAGCAGCACCAGATGCAGCATCGCATGTTGGTGGCAAGCTGGCTTGGGTTGGCACGGCAGCCTGCTGCGGTGCAATGGTGCTGGCTAGCAAGCATGCTGCGCTCCAGCTGTGATCCAGCAAGCATGCTGCGCCAGCTGTGTCCCAGGCCCTACATGCGGCCCCACCGGTCCCACCGGTGAGCGCCCTGGCACCTGGCGCACCTTTGGCGGCAGTCCGTAGCGCAGAATGCTCTCCACAAACAGCCGCACCGCGCACACGTGGATCCAGCTGCTGAAGGCCTCGCCGTAGCTGGTGATGCACCACTGCTCCAGCGACACGCGCCGCTGCTCCACCTCGGTGCGCACCCGCGCCAGCTCCGCCTCGCTGCTGCGTGCCGCCTCCGGGTCCACCTTCAAGTCCTTGACCTGCTCCCGTGGGTGGCGGGGCCGGCGGGGTTCGTAAGCACAGGCAGGGGTGGTGCATGGATTGCACAATGCATGCGAGATGGGCCAGCACAGGCGGGTGCGATGGGCGGTGGAGCGGCGCAGCACCCGGGCGGGATGGCGCGGGGCGCCGGCGCGCAGGCGCAGGCTCGCGCCCCTGCGCCGCACCTGGAAGCCCTTGCCGCGCGCCGCGGTCTTGAAGTTGTCCACCACCCGCCTGAAGAGCACCACCGTGAAGGCCTGATAGTCCTGGTCCTCGGCCACCACTGACGTGGAGCGCGGCACCACAAACTCCGACAAGCTCTCGTACTGCGCCAGCCAGTCGCCCTTGGCCGACTTGGGCACCACCACCAGCAGCGTGGTCAGGTTCTCGGTGTAGACCAGCTGGCTGGGGGGCACCAGCGACGAGACGTCGCGCACCGCCAGGCTGCCGCCCTGCTTGCGCGCCGCCGCCTGCAGCGTGCTGCGCAGCTGGCCAAACTCGGTCACCTTGACCTGCGGGGCGGGGCGGGCGGGGTGGGGCGGGAAGGGTCAGCCGGCGAGCGGCACGTGTGCACACACAGCACATGGCATGTGCGCTCAGCCAACCCTGCTGCTCCCCCCTGCGCAAGGCAGCGCCCTGTCGCCCTCGGGCTGCAGCACTTCCACTCCCACTGCAGCTCCCAGCGCTGCCGCACAAGCGTGCCAGTACACTGCTTTGCCCCGCCGCACGTAGCCGACTCGTAACCAGCCGCGCCCCGCCCAGCCCTGCCCGCCCAGCCCAGCCGCTAGCCGGCGCTGTAGTCGCACCTTGAGGTCGTCGTCCAGCTTCTGCACGTTGTCCATGATGGACGCCACAATCTCCTTGAGCGGGCGGCGTGACGGGTACTTGGCCTCGTTCCAGGCAAAGCGCTGCAGGTAGCCCTCGGGCGTCTGCGTCTCCACCCACACATCGGCGCGGTCCTCGGGCGCCACGCTCGCCTGCAGCTCCATCAGCTGCCGCCGCACCTTGTTCACCGTGCCCTCCACCGCCTGGTTCACCTTGGCCAGGTCGTCAGACAGGGCCAGCAGCGAGTCTAGCGTGCCAACCCTGCGCGGAGAAGACGGGGCAGGGGCGGGGGCGGGGCGGTGACGGGCAAGCCCGCAAGCCGCTTCGCGGGCACAGCGCCCCGGATCGGCACTGCACAAGCGCTCCAGAGGATGGGCACGCAGCTGCTGCAGCTGGCGGGCTTGCACTGGGAACCCCAAGAAGCCCCACCCCCGACCCCGCTTACCTGAAGCTCTCGGGCAGCGCAAACTTGAAGTTGGAGCTGTAGTCATTTGTGTACGTGGTCGCCTCCTGCAGCCGAGTCCAGGCCTGGTCAGCTCCGCCATCGTGGGGCAGGCTCACGAGCCAGTACATGGTTCCAGCCCCCGATCCGGCAGGCTTGGGCCTCCAGCGCTAGGTGGCGGAAAGCGCTAGGTGGGTTAGGGCCTCGGCCCAGGGCGCAATGTGCAGGATCTGGTCTCTGCAGTGTGTAAGGGAGTGAAGCGAGCACAGGTACAGGCCGCCGGCGCCCAAAGCGCGCTGCTCTGAGCTGCAAGCCCTACACATCGCTGTCGCCCCGTCACACGCCGCTGGCCAGCGCCCGCCGCAATACCACCAAACGAGAGAGTGGCCAGCCCTCAGTTTGTGGCCATAAGTCCTGTGTTACCAGATGTGAATGTTGCAAGGCGAGCAAGTGCAGCACTTTGGCATAAATCACGTCATCAGGGCTTCGGCGGCGGCCAGCCACGGCTCACTCGGCGGCGGCCTTGCAGGCTCGCTTGTGCTCCTCCCAAGCAGCCGTTTGGCAATCCCGGCTGCGTGGAGCAAGCACAAGGTACAGCCATTGGCATCATCGTCATGAGCAGCGCTCAGCCATGACACGCTACATGGGGGCCTCCTGGTCCACCACACCATTCCTCCCTATAGCGTTGCCATCCTCCCACAAGACAACAAAGCAGGCCTAACCTGCAGTACTGCGCCTTTTTGCAGCAGGCACAGCGGCGCATGTCCGGCGCCTTCTCGCCGCAGCCATCGCAGGCGCAGCGGGTGGCGGGGTCGGAGTTCTCGCGCTCCGCCCGCGTGGCGATGCGTGCCTGCTGCACTGTGCTGGTCGGGCCCGCCCCGGCCCCCTCCAGGCGCCCGCCGCTGCCGGCCCCGCCGCCGCTGCCAGCCTGCAGCGTGTACTTGAGCAGCGCGCGGGCGGGCGCCACCTGGGTCTGCGCAAACGACAGCGAGGCCTCCACGGTCTGGGCCCAGCGCTCAGGCAGCGCCGCCGTGCACCTGGCCTGCGCCGCGCCGGCTGCAGTGCAGGAAGGCCGCACCCAGCGAGTCGGCCGCACCCTTGACCAGCAAGAAGTCGCTGCCAGACTGGCGCGCCAGCCTGAAGGCGCAGAGGTAGCGGTCTGCCAGCTCGGCATCGGCCGTCGACTCCTGCTGCCGAGAGCGCAGCGCCAGCGCCGCCACGGCGTGGCTCTGCGCCACCTCTGGCTCCAGGCGCAGCAGCTCCTCGGCGCACCGCTCCTGCCCCGCCAGCGCCTCGCCCAGCTGCTGCGCGGACAGCGGCGTGAAGCCTTCCGGGCGCAGGTTGGGGCGGCGCTGCAGCGTGGCGGCGGCATACACCACCTCGACCGCGTGGCGGCAGCAGGCAGCCTGCAGCTGCTGCGCCGTCAGCAGCGGCGGCCGCCCGCCGCTGCGCCTCTTGGGCTGGCTGGCCACCAGCGCCGCCAGCTGCTGCCCCACCGCGGCGTGGCACCCAGGCTCTGCCAGCATGGCGGCTGCCTGGGCGCTCCGGCACGCTGCTGCGTACAGCTCCGGGCCTCTGCCGGTGGTGAACAGAAACAGCACAGCGCCCAGCTCCGTGTGGTCGTCATCGCTGGCGCTGCCGCCCGTGGCAACGCCGCCGCCGCCGCTGCTCCACTTGGTGGCGGCGGCCTTCCATGGCGAGGCAAAGACCGCCATGTAGATCTGCAGCGCCTCCTCCCACTCGCAGTCAGCCACGGGCAGGTGTGGGGTCAGGTACCGTGCCCTGCTGACTTTCGCGGCACCGAGCAGCAGCTGCTGGCGGGCGACGGCGGGGTCCTTGAGCGTCGGCCGCCCCTGCCGGTCCAGCGGCAGCATCTGCGCCACATCCCGCAGCAGCTGCACGGATTCCACGAAAGCAGCGACGTCAGGGCTTCGCTCAGCCTTTGGAACCGCTGTTGCACGTTCAAGCCTGACAGCAAAGCTTTGTTTTTCGGCCTCCATGTCGCGAAGAGACCCAGCGCAGGGAAGGACAGGCAGCGCAGGGACCAAATAAGGGGAGCATTTCAAGTGGGGTCCCAATGTTGATGTTGCGCTGCGCTGTGCTGCGCTCCCGACTTCGCTGCCACCTCCATTCTGCTCCATCTGTGCCTGCACATATGAGCCAATTCCAGCTCATCTGTGCCAATTACAGCTCCCATGACATGAGATTGTCTGAGGAAAGCATCACAGCAGAAAACAGGAACTGCATGTCATTGAGGCGCCGTCGCCGGCTGCTGGCGGTTGGTGGCTGCGGCGGGGATGGCCACCGGGTTGGTGTTGAAGAAGCCGTCGGGGTCAAACTTGGCCTTGACCTGTATGGGAGCAGCAAGTAACGGGGCGTGAGTAGGAGGGGCAGCTGGCGACCCCTGCACATGTGCACCTTCCCCCCCGCCCGCCCTCATGCGCATACCTGGCGCAGCCAGCCCAGGTTGGGGCCATAGTAGGACCAGAGGGGGTCGGGGGATGCCTGGTCGTCAATGTAGTTGATGTAAGCTGGCTGGCGAGGGAAGAAAGGGGCCATCTGTCTCTGTATCTGTGCCAGCGCTGGCGCCAGTAGCGGCACGTCTGCCTCGCGGCGCACCCGTTTGGCTGCCTTCATGAAGTAGAGGGCACGGCGCCAGGGGAAGGCGGTGTCGCGCTGCCGCCGCCGCCGCACAGCGGTCTGCAATCAGGCTCAGAGGCGAGAGCTGTAGCAGCAAGGCAAGGCGATTGCGTCATGGTGTGGTGCTGCACATAGTGCAGCCTCTGAGCAGTCGCCACAGCCTCCCCCACCTTGAGCCCCGTGGACAGCACAGTCACGGTAGCGTCCGTCTTCCTGAGCACGGCGAATATGGCGGGAAAGGCGCGGCGAGGCAGCGGCTTGAGCGCAAACCAGCTCTTCTCGGCGAAGCCTGCGGGGCGGCGCCCCACCATGTAGTCGAAATCAAGCAAGGCTTGCAGGGAGCTGTTCCTGGCCTTGCTGCCCGCTGTCACAACCATGGCCTCGATCCAACTCAGCTCCGACGTGCTGCCCTTGGGGAGCTGGGCGCCTGGCAGCCAGGGGGACTGCAGCACGCCCAGGCGCGCCAGCTCCTCATCGAGGGCGGCTCTCCTGCAAGGCAGCAAGGCCGGGGGGGCAGATCAGCAGGGAAGCGCGGCAATGCGCGGCACCATGTGCTGCCGCGGTGCCTGCTCACCTGCCCGGCAAAAAGGCGACCACTGAAACGGTGCCATCAGGCTGCAGATGCAGCTCGAACAACAGCTTGCTGCTGGCCGAAGGCAGCAGCCGGCTCTGCCAGTGCACCAGAAAGTCCACGGCATGCGCCGCAGCTGCAGCAGGACGACAGAGGAGTGAGCTGGGGCGGTCAAATGGACGGCGTGACTGCTGGTGTGCATCAGCGCAGGAGCTGGCAGCACGCACCGATCTTAAATGTGGCCAGCGAGAACAGCGCGGGTGCCTGGTGCAGGCGGAGGCGGAACTCGGTGGCGATGCCTGCAAGCAGAGGCGACCAAGAGTCAGTGGGGCTGTTGCCTTGGGGGTGCGCAACCAGCCACGCGGCCAACATTGCTTCCAATCCAGGTGGTGGCTTGCGCAGCAGCCAGCCTCGAGCCGCCAACCGCCTGCTGGACGGCCCATCCCACGCACCAAAGTTGCCTCCCCCGCCGCCGCAGGAGGCGGCAAACAGGTCTGCATTCTTCCCCCTGCTGGCTGTGACCAGGTCGCCGTTGGCATCCACCATGGTGACCGACAGCAGTTGGTCGCAGGCCAAGCCATGCCAGGGGGTCAGGAAGCCGTAGCCGCCACCTGCGGCAGCGGCGCACCCACGGCGGCAGTGTGGTGGCAGCAAGCGGCTGGTGGAACGGAGCGGCAGATGCGGCCCGCATGTGCCCCACTCCTGCCTGCCGTTGCTCACCCAGGATGTGCCCCCCCACTCCCACGTTGGGGCAGGTCCCCGCCACGGCGGCCACGCCCGGCCCAGCCTGCTTGTAGACATGATAGTAGAGCTGACCCAGGCGCGCCCCGCCCTGCACGCCAGAGCCAGGCAGCGAAATGTGGGGCAGGGAACAAATGGGCAGGAGCGGCGGGCTGGTGGCAGGCGCCGTGCCTCACCTGCACCCTCACCGACCGCCTGTTCTGGGCCACAGTCACGCCGTCCAGCTCAGACAGGTCCAAAGTGAGAGTGCCGGGCCGAACCGAGTAGCCCAGAAAGCTGCCGCCGCCGGACCGTGCGGTGACCTTGACCCCCGCGCGCTTGGCGCAGCGCACCGCGCGGCCCACCGCTGTGGCGGTGCGCGGAAACACGACCGCCAGCGGCACGGTGCGGCTGTGCACCGCGCTCCACAGCCTGCCCCCGGCCGCCTCTGCCAGAGCCGCAGGGGAGGAGCCGTCCACCAGCCGGGCATCCAGCCGCAGCAGGCAGCGACGCAGCGCTGGGGTCAAGGCTGCCGCCTGCACCGCGTCTGGGGTTGGCCGCGGCAGCGCCACGGCAGGTCGCGCCAGCAGCCCGAGGGCAGCTGCGAGAGCGATGGCAAGCAGCCGTCCTGCTACGTGGTGGCAGGCCCTCATCCCCGGCTGCAGGCAGGCAGGCAAAGGGTGGCAGTTGGTCCGGGAGCGGGGGGGCGGCCTGTCTGCCGCCTGACCGGTGTGGCGCCGTGGCAACCCCGGGGGGGGGCTGCCTAGTACTGCACATAGCGCACTTCTGACGTGCCTGCGGTTTCTATAAACCCCTATGGGCTGCAGTGGCAGCAGGGTCTCCGAGATGCTAGATGCGTTGGTCGAGGTTTCGGAGCCAACAGGCTGCTGGCTAGCAGTGCCCCAGCAACACTCAATCATCAATGGGCCCGACTCCGAATCAGGCGCGGTGACCTGAATGGCCTGCCCATGTACCGCCTCGTACCGCGGACGCAGGCGGAAGCGCACACTGCTCTCTCAGGCCTCCCCTGCAATGTGTGAGACATATCAGGCATCTGGTGGATTTATCTGTTCCAGCCAGCTGGGTGGCATGTCCCGATTACGGCGCCCCGACTTGCCGGCATGCGCCACGCTGGCGGCGAGATGGTGGCATAGCCGGCCGCAACGGACTCACGGCCGGCTGTTTTTCAAGCTGGATCGCTTGGATCGACCTGTTCACATTGTTTCTGCTCCCATGTGAGAGGAGCAAGCAAAGTTGAACAACAACATTTGATGTCTGTACCCTTGAGGCTCTTCTGCCGAGCATTTTCTACGCAGCGGGCCATGCGTGCCATCGGGCAGGCCAGCAGCGCTGCTTGCCCGACCGCAGAGTGCCGCACTCTCGGCAGTGGCGCTCGGCAACACCGCACACTTGATGGGATGAGGCACACCAGGCACCTGTGGACCAGACCTGGTGAGTGGGATTGCTGCCGATGGAATTCCTATGCCGCCGCTGCGGCCGCCCACGCCGCCACACAAGGCCACCGCCACACGAGGCCTCACTTCGCCTGCCTTTGCCTGCATCCAGGGGTCCTGCTTGCATCGGGCAGCACGAGCCCAAGCGCTGCAGCGGTCACACCCGACACTAAGGTTGCAGCCGCCATCTCTGCAGCCTGCGAGCAGCTGGGCAAGCCGTTTCCGGCAGCCGCGGTGCAGGCGCTGGAATCAAACTGGTACAGCACCGCCGCCGAGCTAGCAGCGCTTCCCGAAGAGACGGCACGCAGCCTAGGGGTGCCCCTGCGCCTCAAGACAGCTGTTGCCGACATGCTGTCAAGCAGGAGCGCTCCGCCGACAGCAGCACCAGCAGCGGCACGAGGGGCAGCAGCAGCCGTATCAGGGCAGCAGCAGGCGGCGCAGCCACCTGGCAGCGCCAAGGGCTTCTTGAGCTCAGCGATGCAGTATTTTGGCAGCCTGATGCAGCCAGATGGTGCGGCTCGTGATGAGCCGCCAGCCGCTGCCCGTCCAGCCAGCCAGCAGCAACCCGCTGCAGCCGGCAACAGCTTGGATGGTGCCAGCCGCCAGCCACCAACCGCCAGCCGCAGCCGCCAGCGACCATCAAAAGTAGCCCACCGCAGCAGCTTGGATGCCGGGGCTGTGACGGTAACAGCCACATCTCAGGGCAGCAGCAGCAGCAGCAGCAGCAGCCTTGAGGAAATGGCGAAAGCAGCAGTTAGCAGCAGCTTGAACAGTGCTGATCTGCCAATGGCATCGCTGCCTCAGCACAGCAGCAGCAGCAGCCTTGGCAGCACGCTCCCTGCCGTCATCTCAGGCGAGGTGAGCTGGGCAGCGCTGCCGATCGAGGAGCGGCGCAGCCAGAAGATGGCGCGGTTCAACAACCCCTTCAGCAGCGCGGAGAAGGTCAGCAAGCGCACGAAGCCAGAACGCTACGCCATCTCGGTGCGTGCTTGCGGCTGTTGGCCCCTGCCGTTATGATAACCTGCATTGTCGGTGTTCTGCATCATTGTTTCATCATCAACTCCCTTGACCTTCAATCAATGCAATCAGCTGAGGCTGGCTCATTCTACTGCGTCGTGCCGTGCTGCATCATGCTGTGGCGGCGCAGCTGGCAGAGATGAGCCCCGCGCTGCAGGCCGAGTTTGCCGCCTTCCACCGCTTCTGCACGGTGCGCTTCTTTGGAGCGCAGTCCGAGCCCATCGCCGAAGTCACGGCGGCCAAGTATGCCGACCACCTGAGGTGTGTTTGTGTGGAAGGGAGGTGTAGTTCAAGTCATGCGCAGTGCCATGTCCTCGGCGGCCTCATGCTCATTCTGCCAGGTGCTGCCAGACGCCGCCAACCCCTCCCTGGCTTGGCTGTCGCCCGCCTGCAGGGGCATGCTCGGGTACGTGCACCGCGAGCGAGGCGTGCCGCTGGACGCCCTCTCCTTCTCCCAGCTGCTGCCGTCGTCGGAGCGGGAGGGCGTTTCAGTGGTGTTCGACTACATCCTCTGGCTGCATGCGGCGCGCAACATCTCTGTGAACACCGAGGGCCTGGTGGTGAGTGGGGGGTGGCGCTCCCTATGGGCATAGTGTGGTGACCTTGAACCTGCTCTGCTTGTGAGCCGCTGAGGGTCCATGCCTCGTCCTAAGGGTCTATGCCTCATCCTATGCTGCGCTGCTTTGTCTCGCTGCGCCCGCAGGTGCGTTCAGCTGCGGCGGCAGCCAAGTTTGTCTACCACAGCAAATCCACGGTGCGTTCCTCACCTGACCAGGCATGAAGGGCAAGAGGAAGGCAGGCCGTACTGTCCAGCCATCACCTGAGTTGCCCTGCTGCCGGCCCCCCCTTGCCCCCGGCAGGTGAACCCCGGCCGTGGGGAGACGGCCTATAGCGACCTGGGTGTGGTTAAAGAGCTGGTGCGTGCCGGACAGCAGCAGAGGTGGCTAGTCGTCAATGCACAGTGTTTGTCGGCTGTTCAAGCAGAAGGAATGTCAGCTGCAGGCTGCTGTGGCAGCGGCGACAGCCGCAATGGCAGAGGACACGCTAGCAGGCTTGTGTGGGGCAGCCCACCGGTGCTACAGTGGCGCGGCACCCACATGCCATTGCTTCATGCCATGCCTGCTTGTGCTGCAGCGTGCCATGAGCAATGCAGCCAAGCGGCAGGCCAAGGTGGCGCCACGTGTCTCGGGTGGGTGGCTGGCAGGCTGGCAGCATACACACTGTGGAACATGGACAGAAACTGCTGTGACCTTCTCATCATTGCATGTGGTCCACGGCTGGGCTGCCCGCACCTGACGCCTGATGTGCCTGCCTGCTTGCGCCCTTGGCTGTCTTCTGTTTCTGATGCAGACGAGGAGAAGAAATGGCTGGACTGGCCAGAGTATCTGCAGGTGTGCGCCGAGCTGCGGCTGGAGTGCGCGGCTCGGGATCCAAACGGCAGGCACCGCAAGCCCTCTGCTGTGGCCTGGAGCCTGCAGCGGTACCTGGTGTTTAGCATCCTGAGCTGTGTGCCAGATCGCCAGGCAAGGACCGTCCGCTGCCTGCACACCACTGTGTTCTCCCTTTGTAAGGTGTGTGGGTCCTGCACTGCCCCACCTCCCCTGTTCTCACTCCACCCTAGTCCCGCTCTCGTCCCCTCCTGCCTGCAGCGCACTCTGCGGGAGCTGGAGGTGGGGCGCACGCTGGTGCGGGACCGCGAGGGGCGGTGGGTCATCCGCCACGGGCCACAGGACTACAAGGTGCGGTGGGCAGCCAGGCCCTGGTTGAGCCTGCCTGCCAGGCGCCCTGCTTTGCCATGCTGCCGCCAAAGCTGGCTGCCTGCCTCAAAAGCGGTGCTGGCGCTGTGCTCAGCTCTGCTGTCGGCCCCTGCGCAGACGGGGCGTGCCTATGGTGAGCGCCCGCCGCTGGCCATCGCGCCCCACATCTATCCCGAGCTGGAAGCTTACATGGACAAGTGGCGCGCCTGCCTGGAGCCGCGTCACAACTTCCTGTTCACGCAGTGAGTACTTTAGGGGGGGGGAGCAGAGGAAAAGGATGCAGCTGGCAGAAGCTGCATGCGCGGGAAGCCAGGCTGGCTGTGCAGGCATCACGGTGTGTTGCCGGCCAGCTGTCGTTGCTCCCATCAGCCCGGCCCTGCTTGGTGCCCCTATCACCGCAGGCGCAACGGCGAGCCTCTCAACGAGAAAAGCCTGTACAAGCTGTTCTGGACAACAGCGTATCGGCTGACAGGCAAGCGCACCAACCCACACCTGGTGCGCGACAGCATCGTCACATACCTGCGTGGTGGAGATGCCACGGAGCGGGAGCTCGAGGTGAGTGCCGGGGAGATGCTGGTGTGTTTGTATGCAGCACGGTTCCAGCATTGCCGCGCACGTGGGCCTGTGGTACCGTGGTTTCGATGTCGCCTGTCCCGCCCACCCTCACGCTCCGTCTCCTGCCCCCCTCCCCGCCCAGGCCCTAGCGCTGTACATGGGCCATTCAGTTGAGATGCAGCGAGGAGTGTACGACCGCCGAACCAAGGAACAAAAGGTGCCAAGTTTGGCTGTTCGCTCATCGAGTTTGTGGCTGCCATACTATTGAGGGCAATCTGCCTGCCCTCACCAGCGTCCCTGCCGCCGACCTGCAGGTGGAGCCGGCGGTGGAGCTGCTGGCGGAGCTGAACCGCAGGGCCATGTCGTCGGCCAGCAGCGGCAGCGACAGTGAGCAGTAGGCCATGGGGAAGACATCCACCCCTGCGTTCACGGCTCTTTAGACTGTCCGACTTTAGACTCTTATTCGACTCGTACTCTTAGAAGCCAATTGGCGCCTGTGCGTGGCGCCTTGCCAGCTCAGCTGTTCGTGCCGCCCTACGTGATGGTTCCGCAACTGTAGTCCGTGGAACCATCAATCACTGTAAAGCGCTCTGCTTGCACACTGTGTGCAGCTGTGAGTGCTCTGGCTGGTGCTCTCCCGTCCTGCTGCTCCAGTGTGCGTCCACGTCTGGCTTTCCCACGTTCTCTAACCTCCTAAGCAGCCCATCATGGCGCCTACCAGGGCCTTCGACGTGGTTATTTGGGGTGAGGTCTGGTCCCCTCTGTTGCGGAAGTGAGAGGCTGGTCACCAGCGCTGCTAAACCCCTAGCTGAAGCGATCGCAGTGAATTGGCAAGCGCATTGTAATGCGCTGCCCAAGCCCCGCTGCCACCCGCCGCCGCCGCCAACACCGCCGCCCACCTGACTATCCTGACTACTTTGCAGGTGCCACTGGCTTCACTGGCAGGCTGGTGGCGGAGCACCTGGCTCGGGACTATAAAACTGGAGTCAAGTGGGCGATTGCGGGGCGCAGGTGGGGCGAGGGGCAGATGAGCAGCACGAGCCAATATAGACCGGTTGGTCTGCTTGCTGCTCACTTTGACTTTGATCGTCTTGCGGCCATGCAGCCAGGAGCGGCTGGAGAAGCTGCGGCTGGAGCTGAGCGAGCAGTATGGCAGCGAGCTGCAGGAGGTGCCCATCCTCATCGGGGATTTGAAGTCCCAGGTGAGGCTTGGGACTTCCCAGGGAGGCGCACGCCTGAAACCGGGAACCATGGTGCCCGCTGTCTGTCGCGTAAAGTTTGTCGCCACTCATTTCGCTGCCTGCATGGGCGGCCCATGTGTGTGCAGCCCAGCCTGGACAGCATCGCATCCCAGACCACTGTCATGATCTCCACGGCGGGGCCCTTTGCGCTCTACGGCACACCCGTCGTGGATGCGGCCGTGCGCTCCGGCACCCACTATGTCGACATCACGGGTGCGCTGCTGGCTGCTACCAAGCCTGCGTGACGTCGGGCCGGGCCATCCCAGAAGCGGCACTTCTGCGCTGCTCCCTCTGGCGGGCCGGGTTGCGGCGGCCAGCAATTCGCTGAAGCCGTCCCGCCTGCCACTTGCTGCACGCTGCCCCGCCCCACTTCTCGCCACCAGGCGAGGCCCCCTGGGTGTCCAAGATCATTGCGGCCTATCACGAGGAGGCGGCGGCCAAGCGGGTGCGCATCGTGCCCTGCTGCGGCTTCGACTCCACTCCCTTTGACCTGGGCGCGCTGCTGGTGATAGACCACATGCGCAAGCAGCTGGGCAAGCAGCCCGCCAAGGTGCTGAACGCGGTGATGGGGAGCAAGGGCGGCGTATCGGGTGGCACCATCGCCAGGTGAGGGGTTGCTACAAGCTGTGCTGGCTGCTGGTCCCGGTGCTGGCTGTGCGGTGTGGCGTGTGGCTGCTGGTGGGGCTGAACCCTGTCCAGCCTGACGGCGCCTCCCCGTGTTGTGTCCGAATGCCTGCAGCGGCATGAACGCCATCAGCGAGATGAACAGCAACCCCGCGCTGAAAGGTGGGAGCAGTGCAGACATCATCTGCGCATGAATGGCTTGCCCCCATGCTGCGGTCGCGCGATGCTGCCGGTGGCTCACTTGCTTCCCTGCTGGTGCCTGCTCGCCCTGTCGCGCCCCGCCTGCAGCCTCTGCCAGGGATGTGTACAGCCTGGTGCCTGAGGAGGCGCACGGCAGTGATGGCGAGTTCTGGGGCGTGGAGTGGTGCCCGGAGCTGGGCAAGTATCTTGCACCCTTCGTCATGCAGGTGCGTGGCTGGTGTCTGAAAATCCTTGGTTTTGGTTCTTCTTCTTGTTATTGTTGAATGTTGTTGTGTGGTCGTATGTTGTCTGGTTGGTTTGTGCTTTGAAGCATCGATGTGAGGAGGTTCTGCAAGCTACTCCAGTCCAGTCTACTCTGCGCGTTGTTCTGACCCTCCTGCACTGCGCCACTTCCCTGCCGCAGGTGGTCAACAACCGCGTGGTGCACCGCTCCAATTACCTGAACAAGTACGACGGCGGCAGCAGTACACTGCGGTACCAGGAGGCGGTGGCCGCCAAGTCGTGGCTGGCCGCCAAGTCGGTGCAGCTGGGCACGCTGGCGGTGGTGGGGGCCATGGGCCAGAGCTGGATGCACCCGCTGCTCAAGAAGCTGCTGCCGGCGCCGGGCGAGGTGCGGGGAGGCGCATCGGTCGGTGGCTGCGCCCAGGTAGCTGGCGTGGTAGAAAGGCCCACAGCGTTTCCCTCTGCTTTGACAGGCATTCCTGGCCCTTCCCCTCCCCACTGCCGTGTTTTGCAGGGCCCCAGCCGGGAGACGATGATGACGGGCTACTTCAAGAACAGGGTGGTGGGCTGGACCAAGGAGGAGGGCGGCGCGCAGCCCAGCGTGGTGCAGGCGGAGGTTGCAGACCCTCACAGAGATGGGGGGTACTGGGGAACCAGCAGAATGGTAAGCGGGGCCGCTGGGTGGCTCCTGACTCTGCTTCTGCAGCTTGGGAACGCCCTGGCCCACAACCGCAACCAGGCAGCCATTCAGAGCATGCGTTGCGGGGCTGGCTGGGCCTTGCGGGTCGTTGCCGCTCGCCTATGCCCGCCGCCGCCCGCCGCCTGCTGTGTCTGCAGCTGCTGGAGGCGGCGCTGTGCCTGGCGCTGCAGCAGCAGGAGCTGGATGCATCGCCAGAGGTGCTGAAGGGCGGCGTGCTGACCCCGGCCTCGGGTGAGCTGGCGGGGCCCGGTGGTCAGGAGCGCCAGCCTGGGCAGCTGTTGTTGTTGCCACGAGGATGAAATATTGTTCAGAAGCACTCAAAACGCAAGCCCACTCATGCCATGGCTTTCTGCTGCTGCTGCTGCTGTGGTGCAGCGATGGGCATTTTCCTGGTGGAGCGGCTGCGCAATGCTGGCCAGACGTTCAAGATCTTGGAGGGTGGCGCCAGCACGGCCTGAACAGCAGGGCTTCCCTCAGGCTGATGGCGTGCCACAGCTATCATGTGATGATGGCAGCGGGACAAGCAGACTGTACAGACTGCACAGCAGCGACTGCTGGGCATGAACGAAGCCTTGCATAGCAGCCTGCTTCAATTTATTCCGCCCCTGGTGTTCGCTTGATTGTTCATTGCCCATCGGCGCCGATGCCGAGGTTGAGTAGCAGGCGCACTGTCTAGTTTTTGAAAAAGCTCTCCATCCATAGGCTGTATCACAGCTCGGGAGTCGCGGGAGCAGACACTGGGGCAGCAGACGCGCCAGGCGGCTCGCTGGGTATCCCCTGCTGCCCGCTGTTCCTGCTGCTGACATGCTGCCAGAAGCGCTGCTCCAACTCACAATCGTAGAGACCTGCGAAAGCAGCAACAGGAGGTGGTGTCAGGGCCATGCTTGGGGAGGACCACGAAGGGGCCAGTCGGCCTGATTGCCAGCTGCCTGCCTGCTGCGAGGCCGGCTCCCTTCTCCTGACCCCCACATGCCCCCACACGCAGGGCGACCAACACACCGCCGCACCCGCCCACCTGCCGTGCTCTCCCCGCCGTACTCGTTTGGCAGCACATCGGCATCAATCCACTCCAGCATTGCCCGCGCGGCGCCATCAGCATCCTGCACGCACATGCCACCCCCAATCTTGCCTGGGTCGCGGCAGTGAGAGGCGCGGCAGCGTCGCCAACAGGAGGGGAGGGGCCCCACCTTGATTGAGAAGAGCGACATCAGCTCCCGCGTGTTTTTGTCGATCAGTGGCGACACCATTCTCCACACCACGCTCCACCAGCTGGGCGCATTGATCAGGAAGGCCTTGTGCAGGCGCAGCGGGTAGTGCAGGTTGAGCAGCGCACCTGCCTTGCTGCAGATTAGGAAAACAGGGGAGGTGATGTTCGAGGTACATTCTATGTAGCTGTAGCTTGGCGCGTTTGCACACCGCGCTGGCATGCAGGGCACCCGACCTGATGAAGCGGAACGCCTCGCCCGCTGCGTCGCTCATCTTCAGTCCCGACAGGTCAATGATGTTGACGCTCTTGCCTGCAAGGCGCCAGCAATCGACAGGCAGTGACTCGAACAGGTGTCCGAGCGGGACAAATGCCCACCCAAGCAGAACGTTCCCCAGTGTCGCACTGCGTTTTGAAACAGCCGCGCACCTTGCGGCAGTGGGCGGGAGTCCAGAACTTTAAAGTAGAAGTCGAAGCAGAGCATCAAGTGGCGAAGCAGCTGGTCCTCTGTGACGCCTGCAGTGGCAAAAAACGATCAAGCCAACTCAGTGGCAAGGGTCCAAGGACCACCAACCACCACCACCAGACAGTAGAGCTGCAGCGGCAGCATAGGTTGCGCACCATCTGCCCTCAGGGCATCGTACGATTGCTTCCAGACCCCGTAAGAATCCAGCTGCAGGCCAAAGCAAGGGACCTCAGCTGAGCAGCTTTCGGCAGCTACCAGCACACAAGCTATGGACAGGCCTCGGGCCCGGAAGATTGCAGCTCACCGTGACCAGACAGTCCTTCTTCTTGCTCCACCCCAGCACCGCGTGAGGGTAGCGATGCTTGATTTGCTCAAACTGCAGCAGGCGAAGTGGGAGGGCAGCAGGATGATGAAGCCACACGGCGGCACATACCAGCGCAAGACAGGCATGTTTCAAGCACAAACTGGACTTGGGGACCTGACATGCGGTCACCTTGGGGTGCGGCTGGTCGAGAAGTCCCACCATCCCCTGCTGCCGCCTCCACTCCTGCAGCAGGACACCGCACAGGTGAGCGAGCTGCAGGCCCGCAGATCAGGCAGGGCCAGCAGGAGAGACGGCAGAGCACCAGAGTGCAGGTGCATGTGCCAGCATCATGGAGCGGCAGGCTCAGGCGGCAGCGGGCAGCCACGCACCACACACTGCTGCAGGGCCACATATGCTTTGTTTGGCGAGCTGTAGCCAACCAGAAACCTCTGCGCCATGTTGTCATCCAGCACATCGGGATGCTTGCCCACCAGCTGCCTGCAGGTAAACAGGCACGGGCATAGGTGGAAGGCAGTGGGCCGGGTGCAACCAAGAGGGGAAATGGTTTGGGCAGAGAGGTGGATTGGGGCAGCAGAAGTTGGAGGAGCACGGCCGCAAATGCAACGGGCAGGGGTGGCGGGCGCTGGGCCAGCCAGCAATGGGGTTGCATTGCCATGGGATGGCACAGGCTGCGCACCTGAACGACTGTGGCAGCTGGTCCTCGGCTGCCCCCCTCCTCTCGCCTTTCCTGCGGCCCACAACCCCCGCCTCGGAAGCCACCTGCTGCACCTCGGCTGCCGCCACCAGGCTGGCCTGGAGCAGCGTCAGCGTCCAGCCGCCTTCCTCCGCAGTTGCCTGGGGTCGCTTGGATGCCAGCCTGTCGGCTTGCATCCGCCTCACCACCAGCGCCGCCGCCAGGTTGCAAACCAGGAAGGCTGCCCACCGCGCCGCTGTGCTGATTGCAAACAGCTGCAGCCACGCCGCCAGGACTGCCGCAACAACTGCCCACACCATCGGCAAGTGAGGCTGCGCCGCGGCCTCGGTAACCTCTGGTGAGACCTGCTGCAGCAGCAACAGCAGGTGTGCGTCAGGTGACATCCGCCATTCTAGCTGCAGTTGGAAACGTGGCCATACATTCTGCTGCACCTACGCCACAAGCTTACCGGGGCCGCGCCGCCTGCTGCGCCCTCCCCTTCGGTGTCCTGCTCCCCTTGCTGCATGCAGGCCTGCAGCTGCACCCGCAGCGGCCCTTCCCAGCCAGCAGCCACCTCAGCTGCTCCATCCCCCTGTCTGTGGAGTGGCTGCGCCTCTGCCACAACCAGGGCCGTCCCCTCCCTGAATCCTTCCATGAGCTTCTGCATGCTGAGGCTGGCGGTGGCGGGTCCCAGCGGCATGAACAGCCACACCACCAGCACAGGGCTGCTGCCGGGTGCCCCGTGAGCAGCCTGCTGGACCCAGCGCGCAGGCACAGCGATGTTGCTGCCCCAGGTGGGGGCGGTAGCCAGCACCTCGGCACCTGCTGCCGCGGGCGCCGCCGACGCACCACCCCCCGCTCCAGCCGGCTGGACAGTCACCAGAGTGGGCGCTGGCGCATCGTTCAGCGGCAGGCCTCGCGCAATCCACTGCGGCAGGGGGAAACGGGTACATGGGGTGGTTGTGTGGCAGGCATGGCGTGGCCAGCATCCAGCAGGCCGCAGCACCCCTCCGCTGCCAGGCCGACCCACCGCACCTGCACAGCGGCTGCCAGGCGCTGCCGCGCCGCCTGCAGCTCCCCCACCAGCTCCGCCGCTGCCGCCTCGTCGACCACGCTGAGGACGCAGGAGCGGACCATGGGGTCCTGTGCAGGCAGGGAGGCAGGGGGCCAGCAAGCGTCACTGGCACTGTTGCGGCAGGGCATCTCTGCGAGTTGATGCCAGAGCACTCGCTGCGGGCTACTGGCTGCTCCTTGCTCTGCCCAACCACCCTGGTCTCGGCTCCTGCCACCCCACTCCGTCCAGCTCACATGGTCGGGGTCTGTTTGTTTGCCGCGGTTGATTGCCCACGGCATCAGCAGCAGACGCTCTGCGGCATCACGTGAAGGCGAGGAGGCAGGCGAGGGCAACCTGTCAGCCGGCAGGCGGATATGCCCGGAGATGCCCGGCTGGGAGCAGTGCCTGGGATGCATGCGAGGGCTGTCGGCCAGCCCCCGGCCGGTCTAGCTGTGTGCCCGCCCTGCCTGCTTTGTCCATGAAGCGCGTGCTGGGGTGCTGGCGGCGGAAAGCGACGTTCACGGCAGCGCCCGCCTGCCGCACATCCACAATCTGCGGCCAGGCCAGCCCCACGGGCACAACGCGGAGCGGGTGAGGGCACTGGAGGCGGCCAGCGGCAGCAGGCCCAGCATGCCGTTTGGCTGAGTGCCGAGCAGAGCGGCAGCCCGGGCCGGCACCAGGGCGACGGCTCTCCTCTACCTGGGACAGCGCAACTCCCAGCGTGGCCAGCGCGCCCTGCGGCAGCTCCTCCTCAAAGGCGACCCCGCTGGGCGGCGCCGCCTCTGCGGGCGGCGGCGCCTTGATCCTGCTACTCATCGACATCAGCTTGACCAGCTTGCGCCCATGGACCACCGACGCCTCCACCGCCATGGTGGTCATGGGCGGCAGCCAGGTGATGGACTTGGCGATGAAGGCGGGGAGGCCCGCGTCAGGCTTGGCCGCCGGGTCGCTCAGCCCGCTTTCGCTGGACCGCATGAAGTCGTCGGAGCGGGTGGCATAGAGCCGCACATCCTGGGACGACAGCATCAACAGGTAGGCCCTGTTGATGAACTTGCGGGCGAGGCGAACCTGTATACAGGCGAGGATTGCGGCCGGGCTGAGGCGGGGTCTGGCGGTGCGCGGGCGCCCGGCGCCAGCGGGCAGTGGGCGCCAGGCGCCGGCGGCCGGCGGCTCAGCGGCTCATACGAGCGGTGTTCTGGCGCGCACCGCCGCACGTGGCTTGCAGAAAGGCAGGCGCCTAGGCAGGGTTTCGGAAAGCAGCGTGCCGGAAGGTCCTCACCTCCTCATCCTGCAGTTTGGCTTCTCCTTCAGACGCTCGCACTTTGAATTTAACCACACAGGAGTAAACGGGTCTAGAGGAGACATCACAATCGTCTTTGCTCAGGGCCCCCTCAGGGGGTCTGGACGGCATCCCCATGCCGAGGCGACTGCTGGCATGCATCGCAGAAGAAGCAGAAGAAGTGGTTCGGGGGGAAGATGCGCCGACCGTCCCAGCGCGCCAGCAAGGCGCGGCGCCGCTCATGTGCCGCCAATTACAGAAGAACAATGGGGATGAGCTGGGTTGGGTCATTATTGTAAGAACGTAAACAACAAAACCGTATACACAATCGGATCAGAGCAGGAAGTTGTCGTAGGAGCGGATCTGGAAGATGTCGGGGCGGAAGTACACGTCGCGCAGCGTGGGGTACTGGTCTCTTTGTCCGGGAATGTGCTGGAACCCAACTATTTTATTGTTTCCCTGCAGCGCGTGTCATAGCACACGTGGGATCTCAGCGGTGAAGCGCAGGAATTTCTCTCCCCAAAGGGCTGAGCTGAGCCTCCACTCCAGGCAGGCACCCTGCACAGGCGCCAGCCACCGCCCTGACAGCACACTCACCACGTATAGTGCTGGCCATCCCTTGTCGGGGCTTGCAGGCGAGCCGTAGAACACCACATCGCCGGGCTTTGCGTTGGCGGTGCTGGCGGGCACGGTCAGGATGCCAGGAGAGCCGTACTTGGACACCGCCACCTGCCGGCCCTGGCTCTGCGCCACGCCGATGTTGCCCTTGATCCACACCGTCGGGATCATGTTTCGCTGTGTGATGTAGTCCCGCCCCTTCCCAGCGGCCGCCCAGAGGAGCCTGCACAGATCAGGGGAGCGGTTACATTAGAAGTGGACTTGTGCCTGGACCGCACGCGACTCGGCTGCCCCCCATTCCTGCCAATGCATGTGCACATACATCCGCAGAGCGGGGCTCGGCTGGCTGCCCGCCTTGCAGCTCCCTGCTGCGACTGACCACACTACAAAGCTGAGCCCGTCGGCATGCTTGGGCGCCTTGTTGGGGCAGATGCGGCCAGTGATGCCCGACCACTTCAAGCTGTGATCTGTGGTGTAATTGATGAGCGGCTTGTTCTTGGCCAGGTCTCGGGCTGCCTTGGCCAGCCCCTGCCTGCCCAGAATCAGCGTGACGCACTGCCTGTTGTCCGCTGCAGTGCAGAAGCGGGGCAGTGGCGGCGCAGGGTGTGAGCAGGGTGCCCTGCACGGCGGCGGCGGCAGGTTGGCAAAGCAAGGACAGCAGCGCCTGCAGGCAGACGCTGCGACGGTCGCCCGCCAACCACAACAGGAATCCAGCACCCCTGGTCACTCACGGATGCGGCACAGGATGTCCATCTTGAGGCCGTTCTCATCGGGGCCCCCCACCCCAGACACCTCCCGCACAGTCGCGTTGTTCTTGCCCCAGGGCACCGGGAAGAACTTGCACACATCCGGCTTGGGGTAGCTGTTCGTCTCCCCAAACCACACCGCGCCGCTGGGCCGGGTGATGCGGCACGGCTCGTTCTTTGCCACTACGGCGGCGGGGTTGCTGTACAGGCAGGCCGTGGAGGGGCGCCAACCCAGCCGCATGCCCTCCTCTTTGCACGTGCAGTCGTAATTGATATTGGCCTCGACGTCTTCAGGCTCCCCTATGAACGGCTTGAACATCTTCACCTTACACGTCCCTGAGCTGGCGTTCCAGGTGCCTGCGGCATGGGCCAGGGCACAGCGGTGGGCAACCAGCGGCATGCCGCACCAGGATCCCAGCGGCATGAGGGGCACGGATGCTGCAACCACGCACCAACGGGCGGCCGATCCGCACTGAAATCCCCCAGGCCAACCACGAAGCTCCCCTGGCACCCCACACAGCAGCCGCCACCCACCGTAGCCTCGGATGAAACCGGTTTCATCGTAAGAGCAGACTGTCCTGCTGGCATTGCCTGCCTTCCCGCTGGGAGTGACGGCGAACATGCCATAACGAGAGCAGGTGTAGGGGCAGTCGGCGCGGCCAAAAGGGAGGGTGACTGCGCGGGAAGCAGGGGCCAAGAGCGTTGCGTGTCAGCAGCGCCAGCGGCACACAGCTTGGCAAGCGGCATGCGTGCAGGAGGGACGGGCACAGCGGGCCGACTGACTGCCAGGGCTTGAGCTGCCCACAAGCACACCAGGATGCGATTGCCGCCCCAGCTTCTTACATGCTTTGGCGCCCTCCAACCCTGCCAGCCGCCGCCTGCCCGCAGGAGCAGCAGAGGCCAGGATGCAGCCGACCTGCACCTTGTATGTGCCGCCCACTCCGTAGGCCTCGGCCACCGGGGCGCCGCCCGGGCCAAAGGGCACCTCTGAGAAGTAGCAGGTGGAGTTCTTGAAGGTGCCCAGCTGCCAGTCGCCGCCGCCCACTTTGGTGACGCGGCAGACGGCGGGGTCTTGGGCAGCGGCTTCAGGGCCCGACGCGCACAGCGCATTTTGCTTCCATTGTACGGTGGTGCTGGGTTTGAGGCAGCCACACCGGTAGTTGTCAGAGTGCGAGGTGCCGGAATCGGGGTAGTAAAAGAGGTTCCTGTAGCGGCAGTACCCGCCGCTCTAGGTGCTGTAATAAAACTGCTCGCCCTCCTGGACGGCGTGGAAGAAGGCGCACAGGAATTTTGTATTGTTGGCAGCGCCAGAGGCGGGCACTGGGAGCAGCCCGCGCTTAGCGCACTCGGCGGTGCAGTTGATGTGGCCCCGAATGTTTTTGACTGCAATGGCAGGAGGGCAGGGAGCAGGGGGGTAGGCACAGCGGGGTATGAGGCACAGGAGCATGCTGAAAGGGAACGCAAACAGCAGGCCACCTCACCCGCCGGCACGAAGGCTTCATTAAGCTTGCGTGAGGGGGGGTGGTTGGAAAGATCCAGCTCGCCAGTGGGCTGCGGGCGCGCTGCGCTCCTGCCCACAGCGGCCAGGAGGCAGAGCGCCAGCGTTGCCAGGCAGCGCATCGACATTGGCGGGAGCGGCGGCGGGTGGGAGGCGGCTTGCGCCAGGCCTGCAGGGCAGGGCGCAGGGTGAAGCGTCGGCGTTCAGCTGAAGGCTTTCTGTGCTGAGTACTCCAAGATGCTGGGCGACTGCAACAGTACAGCCGCCTTGCACGCCTCCCGGTACTTCCCGGCGCTCACGATCCTGCGCCTACTTGCCTGCTACCGCAGTTTTGCTAGAGTGTGCCTCTCGCGGAACAAGCAGGCCAACGCTGTGGCCGCGGCTTTCACAGCTAGCAAACAAACGAAAGCACGGGGCCGCTGGGCACGCAGCGCTTTAGTAAGGAAACTAGGAAAATAGCGAGTGCAAGCTTGTGGTAGAGCACAAATGCCGGGGCATGGAGCTGAGATGGGCAGTCGGCAGGTGCCAAGAAGCTGCAACATGCCTTCCCGCCAGAGGCTTGCACAGTAGATGGTGGGAGGAGGAGCGCGCTCCATTGACGTGCCGCACTTGCCAACCCAGTTGCATGTGCACCACTTATGGAGTGGCTGCGAAAGCTGACTGCGGCTGACGCAAAAGTGGCAACGCATCGAAGGTACGAGTCGTACGACGTGCTGGCGCCAAGCGCTGAGCGGCCCGACTGCCAAGGCCCACAGACACCTTAATCAGCAGATGGAACTGCACTGCAGGCTTGAGGAAGCAGACTGTGCCTGCGGCGGCCTCCTGGCCGCTGCGAATTAGTAAACAGCAGCTGCCGCCACAGAGCCGCCTTGCCGCCACACCCGCCGCCGCCAGCTGGGCCTGGCTGCCTTCATGGGCTGGCGCCTCGCCCCTCCTGCCGCTGTCTGGACGGCCCCCCTACCCTCATGGGTTTCTGACCGCACGCCCCGAGCGCCGCTACACCTACCAACGCCCCAGGATGCGGGAGGAGGCTCCCCGCGGCGCGTCCCGCACCATAGAGGTGCCTGGACAGAAGAGAGACAAGGTGGGGCGCCGCCAGCAATGCCGGGGGGGGGCGGCAGCCCGGGTTTCGAATGATGTGCGGTCGTGTGCGGTCATGCAGCAGCTCCTGGAGGCCACGGCCGCGTCCTCAATCGTCCCTGCAGGCTCAGACGCTGCTGAAGGACCAGCTGGAGTTTGTGAGGCAGAAGCAGCCCGATGGCACCACGCGCTACACGCTCAAGCCCCTGGAGGCCGAGTTCTCCTTCGACAAGGGCTTCTTCATGTTCATCCGCGCCATCCAGCTGCTGACCCAGCAGAACAAAGACACCACCGTGGTGCGGCGGCGCGCCGTTACCGCCCGCCCGGCGGTTGCCCCAGCAGCAGCTCCCGCAGCTCAGCAGCAGCCCAGAGCAGCAGCAGGGCGTCGCGGCTGGGCCCTCCTGCCCTCGCCCCACGCGTCAAGCATGCGCTGTGCCCGGCCGTGCGTGTGCCGCAGGTGGGCCTGGCAGGCCCCTCTGGCTCCGGCAAGACCGCCTTCTCCGAGAAGATCAAGTCATTCATTCCCGGCTGCGCCCTGCTGTCCATGGACAACTACAACGACGGCACCAAGGTCATCGACGGCAACTTTGACGGTGCGGGGCGCCGGGGCCTGGGGCCTTTGGGTCGGCGGTGGCTGCCGCGACCGCCAATCGCTCATTCACCAGCCGCCCCGCTGCCCGCCTGTGTTGTGCCTGCACGCCGCCCTCCACACGCACCCCACACACGGCTCCCACCTGCCCCTGATTCCTTTCCTCTCCCAACCCACCGCACATCCCTGCCGTGCCCCCCACCCCACCCCACCCCACCACCACCAGACCCTCGCATCACCGACTACGACACGCTGCTGGGCAACATCCGGGACCTGAAGGAGGGGCGTGCCACGCAGGTGCCCATCTACGACTTCAAGGAGAGCCGCAGGGTGGGGTACCGCACGGTGCAGGTGCCCGACTCGCGCGTCGTCATCGTGGAGGGCATCTACGCCCTCAACACCCGCCTGCGCTCGCTGGTGCGCGGGGCGCCGGGCGCGCGTGGAGGGCGCGCGGGGGCGGCGTGGCTGTGCGGCGGCTGTGGGGCATGGAGCGGGAGGCGTGGGGCCAGGCGTGGCGGAGCTGGCCCAGCCACAGCGGCTGCTGGAGCGGTGGTGGGAGCGGGAGGCATCAGGCCTGCGCTGTCGCTGCCTGCGGGCCCCGGCCTGGCACCCTGCCGTGCCTCCCAACCGTGCTGCTCCCCACCGCCACCCACCTCCCGCTCCCTCCACCACGCCCGCAGCTGGACCTGCGCGTCAGCATCACCGGCGGCGTGCACTTCGACCTGGTCAAACGTGTGCTGCGGGACATCAACCGCTCGGGGCAGGCGCCAGAGGAGATCATCCAGCAGGTGCGGGCGGCGCGCTGGGCCCCGTGAGCGGGTGCCGCCCCACCTGGCTGTGCCGCCGGCTGGCTGGCTTTGAACCGTGCCCCCTGCCCCTGCCAGCGCCTGCGTCCCTGCTGGTTGCACTTGCGCCTCCCTCTTCCTCCCTCCCACCCACCCGCTGCTCCTGCCTCCCGTCCTCCCTCCCGCCCCTGCCCGCCTGGCGCCAGATCAGCGACACTGTGTACCCGATGTACAAGGCCTTCATTGAGCCCGACCTCAAGGCCGCCCACCTGCGCATCTACAACACCTTCAACCCCTTCTCGGGCTTCATGTCCCCCACCTACATCCTCAAGTCGGCGCGCCAGGTCACCAAGGAGGACGTGTGCAGGGTGCTCAAGGTAGGTGGTGGGATGTGGCAGTGGCAGCACTTCCAGCGGGAGTAGGGATGGCAGGAGCGGCGGGCGCAGCATGCTCCTGGGCCCCCGTGCCCCGGTCTATCTTTCCTGTGGCCTTCCACGCTGACACCACCCAGTGCAGCTCGCACATGCCAGCCCAACCCCAATGGCTGACGGCCCGGACCCATCCCAACCCCCTCCTTCCGCTGCCCGCGCTCGTACTCATTGGTGAATGGGCGCGCCGAGTTG